GAAACCTGTCAAGCTCTCACAAAATATCAGCTGTCAGAGGTAGGAACAGAGTTTGAGGCAGGCAAACAATCACTAAAACACTAGAAGGAAAAAAGGTCAGCTAAGTTTTATCTCCAATGAACTAGATGCAGGCCAGCACTGGGCTTGTTTTGAACGCATTTTGGGATGAGTGCTTTAGAGACTTAATCTACACTAAATTCAGGTAAACTTAGTAATTTCACATGTAATGTTTTGATTTCAAAAACTATCTCATTTTTATACTTCATATTGGTAAGCCAGCTATGTTTCTTATTTCTTTTTTTAAAAAAGGCAGTAAGCAGTATGTTTAAGATGTGTCTTTGTTAGTTTAAAAAATATCATATTTATAAACAATGCATACGCATTTAATGTGATGTCCTTATGGTCTAATCTTTCCATCCTCCTCCTAATCCGTCTAACATGATTTTTTTTAAATGAAAGAGAAATGTGTTTTGCCACTCCCTAAACATAACTGGTTGTTAGAAGTGGTCATAACTTCTGGTTATGAGAACTGGCCCATAACAGGACTAAACTGGGATTTTCTGTCATTGGAGTGACAGGGAGAATCAATACTCACTCAATAAGGTTGAGGTGAGATGGAGTTTGAATGGTAGGCATATCCTTTATCAAATATGAACAGGAGTTTAAAAATCTCATTATGAACATGGACTATTTGTTTCAATCAAAATAAGCAGGACTAATACAGGGAGTATACTGACACTGAAGTCTTATCACTAAAGTAGATTATCACATAGATCATTAAAAACACCTCCCTCACAGGGTAACCTGGGTTAAATGTGGTGTGTACTTGCTTAACTTGGCTAAGTACATAGTTAATACTCAATAAATGTCAGCTATGATCATTTGCTTTCAAAAAGTATTAGTTTCACCTTTATAATGTTATAACGTTATTATATTCACCTAGTCAGCACCTTATAAAAATGTCAAACTCATATAGGGACTCCCTTACTTGGATCCTTGCACCCTCAATTATCATAATAAATTACAATGAAAACTGGAGACTCAGGAGGGAATGTGGCACCAGAAGGTATCTGCGCTCATCGTTATGATTTATAATTTTTTTTGAAAAGTGCAGGATCTCTTAAAACTTCCAAGTGTATTGTTACAGTGTTTCCTTTCTTTTCCTTTAATAAGATATGATTTCTGAAATGTATTGCAGGCCAACAAAGAACAGAACTGACAAATGTGGAAGTATTTTACAGTTACCTGAACACAAGAATAAGGTCTGATGAATTTCAGGGAGCTTTTTCCTATACCTATCTCCTCTTACATGCGCAGAACCATTTGTTCTAATCACACGCTTGTCTTCTGGCTATGCCTTATCATTATCCATAAATCCACTAAGTGGACCATTCATATTTCATCGTTCAGACTCAGTGAATCTAACAGCGATATTAGTAAAAGGAAAGGAAAACAAATGTTAAGCCTCAGATATTTTTGTTTATATCAATAAGCATCATTTCCAATTCAAAAATATTTTTTTAATGTATGCCTTTAGAATATACATTTTAAACTGTCCAATTACATAAAGCTTGTCATTTGGCTACTCAGATTTGGAGAGGAAAGGGACAGGCAGCAGGGGATATTTTAGTACAAAATTAAAATGTATCCTTTTAAAACCAAAAGAAACACATAAATGTCTTTCTAGTTCACACAGCCTATAAGAATTTACAGTTTACTGATAAACACCGATTTAAACATTTGTATATAAAATTAAATAATGTGGAAAAATAAATTATATTTTATTATATAAAATTGAAATCTGTACTGCTCAAAATATTCAGATAATACCAGGCTTGGCTGCTTAAAGCTGTATTCAGAAAATATGGTAGAGATGTTTGCAATCTTTATTATTTTGCTAGAGAAAGATTCAGTGAGGTGATAAAATAGCCAGATGTCAAACATTTCCTCCTTCTACCTACAGAAGCTGCAAATTTTACTATGAAAATGAGGTAGACAAAATTCATAAGTCAGCCACGCAGAAACAAAAGCACAGTTCCTCCATAAATTCTCATTGTTCAGGTTGACAAGCATTATCCCAAATCACCTAAAGCAAGGCTCAGAGAGTGCTAGGAGGTTTGTCATGGAAAACACAAATGAGCAATTTCTCCGAGGCAAGAACAGCTGGCAAGACGGTCAGCTAGCAGCTACACGGAGCATGGCGAAAGAGGGATGCAATGGTGACATCACTCACCTAGCCACCGTTTTCACCAGAATTATCTTGATGAATCAGCTTACTCTAGAAGGCTGCGGGTTTTTAACTTATTGTATTTTGTGCTGCATTTGACAGCACAGAGCTCTGTTTCTAATGCACCCCTCTAGTCAGGGGGCGTGTACACTCACTACAGTCCTGCTGGGACGGCTGCAGGAGCCACCCAAAGGCCCATCAGTGGAAGAACCTGATTTCAATAACAAAACAGTACCAACTACGAGTGCAAAGACATGTGAAAAGGCGGACAGAGAAGCCTGAATTTTTGAAGCTGTTTCTTATAATCATGACTTAATCCACAGTGACCTGAGGCTGAACTAAGGTCTAGATCAGGCTTGAACCCCGTGTTTACTGGAGCTTCCTTTTAGACACTGGGAGCCATGCTCACAGGGATTTGGAGTTTCTTGCCTAAATATTGCTCCTTTGTTGCAATTGTTGAACGGGCTATCTCCATTTTGACCTTGGAGAGGCCTACTTGCTCAGCGGCCATTGCTTCTGGCACTACCTCCAGCATGGAGTGTGTGGGGACAGAGGAGAAAGCAAGTGGACAAAGGACTGTTACCCTTGGTCTCTCATAAATCTAGTGTGCTTTCCTTTGAAAGCAACATGTTAGCAGCTCAAATGTACCTTTCTTGTTGTTAATTTCACTGTCAGTTACAGTGATGGAGCAGCATAGGAGTGGCTTTATGGCTAATAACACAATTCACAGAGGTATGATTACATTTAGAATTACTATGAAATTGTACCAAACCATCCATAAAAATCAATAAAAGTAAAACAAAAATCCTACCATAAGAATCTAAAAGACTTACATATATTTAGAGTAATATATTACAAATGCATATATTTAAATAAAATGCTTTTGATTTAAATTTTTAAAAATCAGTTAAAAGCCACGCAGGAGTGGCCTTGCTACTAGATCGTAGAGGTATTTAAATATATATTTGAATAACAATCGCTTTACAAAGGAAGCACTAAAATCAGAGGCAGCAAAATGTGTGTAACAGAGGATTAAAATCTCTATCTTTTTCTCTCTATGTGTTTCAGAAAACTTTTGTAGGCCCCAAAAGAACAACTATAGTAAAAATAATGGAAAGCATTCAGTTAAATAGCTGATCATAATCTTAAAAATTAAGCACTTGAGCTCTTAAAATATCTGTGGGGGAGGGTGGTGATCCTGTGTAAAAAATTTTTAGTTGAATTTAGAATGGATTCTAAAAAGAGAACGCTATAGGAAATCAATATATGTTATATAACATATCACAGGGTAAACCTACTTTTGCCTGACCCTGTATCTATACTATACAATATACAATATATATTACGTTATCATACTGTATTATATTGGGTGTACACACAGACATACACCCTCTGAGGGTTAGATGATTTTTGGTCAAATTAAAGAAATAATTGGTTAGAGAGCTAGCAGATTTTTTGAAATGTAACCTGGCTGTGGTGTTGTGGGCTGAGTGAACAGGGTGAAAATATGCGGGGCCCCAGAGGGAGAATTTCATGAGGAATAAGATATGGTGGTGATTTAGGGAAGTTAGGAATGCCAGGGAATGGGCCTGGCATTCTAAGCACATTTCTATTCTTTTTCAAACTGCTCACTCTGGAGTGCCAGTATCACGGGCAAAACGCTCCAAGTGGAATGTACGTCTGATTCTGGCACCTCTAAGCTCTTCAGCAAAACCCTGTCAGCCCAGGGAAATAGCGCCCGTTGAGATGGCACGCTGACCGCCTCCAGAGTCCTACTGACGACAAGGTGCTTGGGTATGTCACTGTGCATATATACTTGCTTAACTTGTACATATTAACTGGGACATAGCAACCTTGACTGTTAGAAGCTGGTTCCAGGAATAGTCCTGACTACTCCTAGAGCCATATAAAAAATTCTGGATATGACCTAATATAATGTGATTTCAGCTTCAGGGCAATTAATGTGTTTACAGGTGTGTTTTAGTACTTCTACTTGAAACGGCCCTAATGGCTCCACAAGTTATGGCACAACTTCGCCGAAGGATTGTTTTGACAAAGCTGATCCTCCTGTGTGCCAAGAGCTACCCCGGACTCCTGCACAGTGCGGAGCGGTAACCTACCTCACAGTGCCAGCCAAGCACAGGGCAAAGGAGGCCCAGGTCCAGAGCAAAAAATGGTCTCGGATGGGCTTCATGTCTTCGTGGGAGAAAGAGGACATTTCAGACACCGTGAAAAGCACCAGGTCACGGAGTCCACAGTTGCTCTTTTGCATTTTTCAAATGACTTCAGTCTATTTTATGGGCACAGCCTTTGAGGTGACTGTGGTGAGAGTCATACCTGAGTCACTGCGGAAAGCATTGCTTTGGCCTCAATAAGCAGGTATTTTTTTTCCCCAAAGTCCAAACAGCCAAAACTAAGGAAAGGAAGTCCGCCTGCTATCGAGCTGACTGTTTAAATTACTTTGGAGCTCAACAACTACCATAAGGCACTTAGTTTCTTTAAAAGAATCCAAACATACCTCACCCAGTTCTTCTAGGGAAGGAAGCTATTCCCTGGCAGGAGGCACATGCATTCTGCAGAGTAGCTTTGGCAATCTCACAAAAAGCCACTCTGCTGTGTATCAACAGGAAGAAAACCACAGACTGCGGATCGCCAGGGAATGTCCTTGTGAGCATGACAACTGTCTGTCGCAGAGGAGGGCCTCGGAACGCCCCAGAAGGGGGTGGGTCAGCTAGACAGCCTGGCTAATGAACAGTAAGAGTTAGGGCCGTACCGAACTCCAAGGGCTGGTGCTCCAGGCGGCGTCCTGGGGACAGGCGTGCGGGTTGCACTGCTCCCGGTCCAGAGGCTTGTCCAGAATCTCACAGCTCAGATCTGGAAAGCGCTCCCCGCTGGGCCGCTGGCAGACCACCAGCCTGGTTCGCAGGCCTCCGCCGCAGAGCTGAGAACACTGCACAGAGGCAAAGGAAGGCTGCAGTTAGCTGTCTGAACGGCCGATGGCAAACTTTCTTTTCCCATGAGAAATATTTCTCAGCCAAATCCGGCCATAACACAGGGCAAGCAGGCCTCTGGACAAAACTCTGACTTATCTGCAGCCGACCTACAACAGACAGGCACGCTCTGGCTCAACGGGGGTACTGCTTACCCAGGGAGCTCTCAGAGACATGATCTCACCCAGAGGAGAGCATAATTACTCGCCCTATTTCAGGTGGGGGGCAGCTAAGCTTAAGAGAGATTAATTCATCTGATAAGGTACATTTAATAGCAAGAGTTTAGAATAAGATTACAGTATAAAATCAAACATCAAACATGCAAAACACCACCCAGTACCACCTACAGGAAATACTCTAATGACTTAGCTAGTTTGACTTCCTGGCAACCTGTAAGAAGCCACACCAGCCTCTGGCTGTGCTGGGCTGCCAATCTGTATGAGAAGCTATTTGATGTTATCTCCAAATCTTAGCACAACTCAGATCCTCCCCTGGGATGAGCCCCTAGCATGGCAGGTGGCTGGATCAGGTTCTGACTCCTGGCTGGATGCGAACTTCCCAGGAAAGGACGGATGTGTTTCTTGGACAGAACCGCTCTGCTCACTTCCAGGAGCACCGATGGGAAGGCAGCCTTCCTGCTGCGCCAGGGCCAGAGCTCCCGCAGAGTCTGGATGGTTTGGTCCTTGCTGACAGCAAGCATTCCCGCCAGTGCTGCCCTCTCCTGGCTTCAGTCCAATGACAGAAGCTTAATCATGGGTCCCACAGGACACGGCTTTTTGAGGAGTTTTGGGAAAACCATGATATATCACTCTCAAAGCCTGGCTCCCCTTCCTGCCTCTCAGCCAAGCCCTCCAGAATGACCCACTGTCAGCGAAAGTCAACAGAAACCGCCATGTGACTGTCTAGGAGTTCTGGGCCTCGTGTGGGAAACCATGACATGTGGACACGATTCCCGTTAGCCAGGGGCATAGTGGGCCCAACCACTTCATTTCCCTTCTCCCCCCTTGGCATCAGGATCTCCAAGATGTTAATCCCCATGTTTTATTTTATAAACTAGAGGCCCGATGCACGAAATTCATGCAAGAGTAGGCCATCCTTTTCCTCCCTCTCTCCAACCCCCCCACTCCTGGAACTGGCTTCCCTCTGGCACCCGGGATCTGGGCTTCCCTCAGCCTCAACTTCATCTAAAATAGGGGTGTCGAACTCAATCAGAGAAGGGGCCAAAATCTAAAATCCAGCCTAAATCGCGGGCCGAATGGTTTACTGAACAGTCATAAACTGTCATTGTGATGGAAACGCAGCTGAGTGCAGTGATGACAGTGCGGTGCGGGCCACATTGCAAGGCCTGGCGGGACGGATTTGGCCCGCGGGCCTTGTGTTTGACACATGTGATCTAAAAGGTCGTCCAGAAGGACGTTTGGTCTAATGAGCATATTACGCTTTTGTTAATATAGATTGTACACTCAAGACAGAATCACTCAAGAAGCTTTAAATATGTGATTTCCCTGTAAATTCAAAAATAGAGACATATCTTCTTGATTAATTAAACACAAAACAGTAATATATAAGTCGTACATGTAATAGTGGTCGAAAGCCCACTTAATAATGATAGTGATGCTAATCATAATAATTATTACCACTAATAATAATTTGTATCATAGTAGTTGACTTTGATTGAAGGCTAATATGCCAGGCATTTGACATGCACTATCTCAAATAATAATCATGAATATTATGAAGTTGATGCCATTATCTTCCCCATTTATAGAAGAGGATACAGATGTCTGGCAACGTTCCAAGGCCGGGAATGGTACCCAGTTTCCTCTGGCCCAAATACTCTATTGTCTTTCATCAGCCACAGCAGGCAACTCATTAGAAAGGTCTAAAAGGTAACAGCCGAAGAATCTCATTATTTGAGAATACAGCTAATTATTCACTTCCATGTTTAGAATGACTCACCTTTGATAGGAAGAACAGAAGCTATTAATTATGCTTTCATCCGGAGTTTGAAATAATGACAGATTACACATGAGAATAAGAGTGTATAAAAAAAAACCAAAAAAACCCCCAAGACTATATGAAGAAGATGGCAACATTCTCATTGACAAATTTTACATATATTTTCAATCACTTTAAAAGTTTCCTCCATTTTTAACCAGCAGAAGTTAACAATTTAAATGAGCATTTGTCGGCATTTTTTCTCACTTTTCTAACCTGTGTAATCAAGCTGTCTATAATTGATAAAAAATGCAATTTTAAAGTAGCCTAGCATTAAGACAGGCCTCCTAGTTAGTTCCAAATTAAAGAAGCTTTCACTGGAGCTAGTTCTTCTTCATTCAAATAAACATGAACAACACAGTTTGGTCAGCAAAATCACTGTTTTTTCCAAAGCGTGTAGAAAGGGCCTTGACTCTCACCTCTCCCCAGCTGCCGTAAGCCCACTGCGGACACGGGCCGGACTCGCAGGCTCTCTGCTCATCGGGTTTGATTCTCTCCACACAGTCACTTGCGGGGTATCCGTTCTCATCCTGACACACGACGACGCGCCGCTGGAACCCGCCAGCACAGGTGCTAGAACACTGAACACATCAGACACCAGTCAGCAGGCCAGTCCTCACCTCGGATTCCGTGTCAGGACCGTAAGAAACAGCTGACGGGAAGTAAGGCCAGAGGCAAATGCGGCAGAAATCGTTCACCACGGACAGAAAGCAATTGTAAGAACTTCTGTGAGGCTGTTAAACGCGCAAGTCTTAAAATAAACACCCCGAGGGCAGAGACGTGCTTCTCCTTGGCACGCACTGGGCCTTGAGTAGGTGTCCGTGACAAATGTCCAGGGGAGGTGTCTGACATGTGTCGGTGTTCCATGCATGTCTGTGAGGGATAACGTGCTGTGGTTTCCTTATTTATGGCCCTTCCTTCTCTTCTCCAGGCCCCTGACAGGTACACAGGCGTGTAGCCTGACCCCACAGTCTACTGAGAAAGCCTTTTCTTTTCAAAACCCCAAGTGCTTATTTACAACCAACCCAGGACTTACTTCCCTTACAACAGGGAGTCAAATGACCTGCTTAACGAAGAGCCGGTTGTTGAAACTAAGCTTTCATATGAACTCATTCACTTGCGGGGAGCGCTACTTAGACATCCATCTCTCCCAGGTCATGTTCCCGTCTTTCCCTTCATAACAGGGTTGACTTAAGATTTTTCCCCCCTTATTTCTATTTCCCAATGAGCTTTCTTTCTTTCTATCTATCTTTCTTTCTTTCTCTCTCTCTCTTTTTAAAAAAATATATTTTATTGATTTTTTTACAGAGAGAAAGAGAGAGGGATAGAGAGTTAGGGAGAGTTAGAAACATCAATGAGAATCATCAATCAGCTGATTCTAGCAGTCCCCCTCCCCCCCGCCCCCAACTGGGGATGTGCCCGCAACCAAGGTACATGCCCTTGACTGGAATGGAACCCGGGACCTTTCAGTCCACAGACGGACCCTCTATCTACTAAGCCAAACCGGTTTGGCTGAGTTTCCTTGAATGCCATATGGACAAACCTCTCTCCGGATGGAGTTCAGTCTTGCACTCCCTCTCATGGCTGTTCCTAGAACTATGTTTGCATTGCAGCTCGTTTCCCACGCGGGCTTCTCATAGCTCTCTTATTTATCTGCATCTTCAGTGTGTTTGCCTTCCCATAACCGCGTTATCTTTGGAAACCCAATGTTTTTTGCTAGTATTCTTCACTCTGACCCTGAACAGTTTGCCTGTGTGATAACCATCTGGTCTTCAAAGCAAAGCAATTCCCACGCGTTATCATCTCAAATGCACTGGCAACAGTGTTTTGAGTTCCGGGTTCTGGTGACTGACTTGTGCTTTCCGTCAAACCTCAGGCCACACCTGCGTTATTCCAAAATACTTGCCCATCCTGCCTCTTGCCGGTCGGCTTTTTCCTTATAATGATGTGAATGTAGTTTGCTTATTACATTGGGCCTCAGTTCATTGTTAAAATATGAGTGGCTTAAAAAACATATTAGGTTTAATTTTTAAAACATGTATAAAGCAAGAAAATAGATTTATGAATTCTAAGAGAAAATATTTAGGTAATTTTCAATTTAGGTAATTGTTGAATGTTTTAAAATATCCTATCTCTATACTTAGATGGTCTGGTACACTTACTCTGAACTTGAAAATATCTGTTTTCTACTTTTGAAACAGAGAACTATTATTTTAATTAGTTTTGTTTGGGGACCATAATTTAAAATGTTTGGGAGGATCTTCCATATATAAATAGATTTGGAATATATCTTCTGGCCCTTGAATTTTCCCCTTCATAATAAAATCTTGTATTATTCCTTTATTAAGTCTCCTGTGAGTGTGATGGCCCAACAAAATGGCAAACTCTTTGAGAGAGGGCTCAGTGGCATCACGCATGTTCCTGTGACTCCCAAAGCACTGGCCTCAGGTCTTATTACAGATTCCATTCAAGTTTCTGGAATTGGCACTTCTATAGGCCACAGGCCACCCTCTTCGATATAGCCCAGTGGAGCAAGGATGGATCCCTGATCCCAGGCGAGCTCACCTAAAGCTGCCCGTTGGCCAGTCAGATGCTTCCTCCTGAGGATCTGCCGGAAAGCTGGAGAAAGTGCTCCGCGGGAGGCAGCAATTGAACCGCCCAGCTCTGGAATCGCACCGCACATTTCCAAACCCAGGGTGGGCCTGGGTCTGTATCCTCCCGCACACGCGTGGAGTGTTGTGCACTGCAGCAGTGCATAGGCTGCAGAATTTCTTGCGGCCCCCTTTTGTTAACAAGTTTTCTATTCTCTAGATGACATATTTTTCTAGGTAGATGTTGAAAAAGCCCTGCTCCTATGATCCCCACTGCACGAAACAAGGAAAAATGATCTTTAGAAAAGCAAGAGGTAAGGGACATCTTACCTGCCTCATGCACTTCCCTGCATCTGGCAGCACAATTCTCTTGTGAGGAACCTTGTTGGGCCTGTCTATTAAGATACTCTGCCCATCCCCAGTCAAGGTATAAGTGCAACAAGCTGGACCAATCAGACTCACCTGGGAATTTGAATGCTGAGTAGAGTAACTCAAGGGGAGGTAAAAAGGACTCATTAAGGCAGAAACTCCTTAAATAAGTTATTCTTTAGATACTGGTCCATCTAGATCAGGATTTGGCAAACCCTAGCCCAAGGGCCAAATCAGGCCTGCCATCTGTTTTTATAAATAAAGTTTTATTGAAACACAGCCATGCCTGTTCCTGTATTGTCTATGCCTGCTTTTGGCTGGTTAGTTGAGTCAGAGACTGTGTGGTCCACAGAGATAAAAATGTTTACCATCTGGCCCTTTGCAGAAGGAAACTGCCAAACCCTGAGCTAGATCCCCGAAGATTCTCAGTCTCTACTTATGCCAGGGCTAAGGGAATGCTTTTACTTGAGTCAGTTTTCATTTCTTTTGCTTGCAACTAGAGACCCCCAATTGAGAACACACAGGAAACCTCACACAGGGTTCACGTTTATGCAGAATCTAGTGTAAAATGAGGCCCTTACTCTGGAATCCAATACAAACTTGACATTCGAATTCTCTTGTGTTCATGGTTCTTTTCTGCCATGGAGGCAGAAAGACCCTTGCATACTCCAGAGAGTAGGTCAGGCAGCATAGGCCGGCCTCAGAAATCACGGTCCTTAACTTAGAAAAAAAACCCCAAACAAAAACAGCACACAGAGGGAGAGCGGTGCTGCCCATGGCTGCGGAAAGGTTACCTAATCCTCCCTAATTGGGAACGCTGCCCGGGCAGAAGCATTCAGTCTTAAAGGAATGCGCTTTCCCAAATGCAGTCCCAAATGAGAACAGCTTTCAAATGGCTTTTAAAAACTTTCTAGTGCTATCTTCAGAACACACACACATGCATTCCACGCTCTTCAGTCAGAAAAACCGTGGGACACCCTGTGGTTACCCCCTGAGTCACCCTTTGACGTCCCTTCTGAGCCAGGCCAAGGGAGACAAGCGAGAAGCGAGCCGGGAGCAGGAGATGGCAAAGGTCCAGCCACTTGGCCAGGAGACAACCCCCCTCCCTCGCCAATGTGCGGCTCATCAGAAACCCCGGGGCGTCAGCGTGGCTCCCCGAAAAACCACGTGAGAAACAGCCAGCCTCCTCCTAATCCTCTTTAGTCCGCACGTAATTATACACAATTATTATAGCAGGACCAGAAGGAAACGCGGTAAATCATTAAAAAGAAGGCCCTGAGTGATGGGTAAGCCCTCACCCTGCAGGCTGTACTTCCTCGCTCCCTGCGGTTCCATTAGACGTGGCCAGTAATCACAAGGTAATCTTTTTTGGAAAATTATTTAGTAAAAATTAAAAAACAAAAAAACAAAAAAAAAAACACATTCAAAAGCATATCTTTCCTTTGAATATTGGGTATTTTTCAAGGTCTCCTCATTCTGAAGGACAATGATGGTTGTAAAGATCATTGCTGATTTCTATTATGGTCTCGTTCCGTGGCTTGCAGAGTGCCAAGTACTTTGTTTGCATTTAATTCTACAGCCCAGCAAATGATGGTTCACTTTGTTTTACAGATGAGGAAACTGAGGCTCGAAGAGTATGCTACTTCCCCTTCAGCTCAGGTTTCACCCAGCTTCCTGTGTCACCCTGCCCTCACCCGCGACAAGGATCTACTGCCACACACTCTGACACCTCCTGGGAAAAAGCGAGAAGGAAAATGAGGCTCATAAAGCACTCCCTTTCAGAAAAGTGCTTCTGCCCCTTTAACGCCCCCAGGTCTCCGCATTGTGGCCTTCAGAGCCTCCTGGAGGCCACTGCACCCAAGGACATCCCCTTCTCCCACCAGTCAAGGGAGCTTGTGACTCCTTCTCAGGGACTGCAGTGAACCCGCTGTGGTTCACCCCCAAACAAGTGAAAATGCATGTCAGCCCTTGTGAGAAAAAATGCTCCAAGGATGTTCCTAGTCCATTCCCCACTGCGCCCCAACACCGCCTCCAGTGAGAGAAGGCGGCGAATTAGGAAAAGACTCCGTCATACTCACTGCTCCCCAGGGGCCGGTCCTCCACTGGTTCCCACCGAGCACGTGGGTCTGGCTGGGGCCGAGGCTCCTGGGGTGATAGCCTGCATTCTGGAAAGGGTGCTGAGCGAGGCCTCTGTCGGGGGCCTGGCGTGAGCACGGCGGCAGGGAGCAGTCCTGCGAGGTTTCTGGGATATAGTCCGTGTCACACTGGCTCTGATCAATCACGTGGTCACTGTAGTCCACACACAGCACTTGCCGGGTCATCCTACCGTGCCCACAGGTCACGGAGCACTGCAGGGGACGTTCAGGAAGAGAAAGGGCAGTCATGAACCCACGAATGTGCATGTTTGTAAATTGTCCTCTACTCACCCAGTCAACCAGGTCAAAACCTTGGTGTTATCCTTGACTCCTCCCTTTTCTTCCCATCCCATAGCCACTCATTGAGACATGATGTAGCTCAATGGTCAACACATAACCCCAGCCCAGCCACCTCTCACCTCCTCCTCCGTCACCTCTCTCGTCCAAGCCATCATCTTCCCTTGCCGGGACTATTGTAGTAGCTTTCCATGTGGACTCCTGCATATAACCTTGACCCCCATCCCCAAGTCTGCTATCTATATATCACAGTGACCCTTGCAAACAAAAGTCATGTCATGTCATTCCCTCCAGTGACTATCCAATTCCTTCTCCTCGCCTATCCTCGTTTTGTTTTACAACTGACATGCCTCATCCGAGTCCCTTTTCCATAAGTGGCCGTGAACTGGGTGTTGGAGCAAAGTAGTGTAGAAATGTTATTAGAATCAGCCACTAGCTGGACAATAATTGACTCTCTATGGTTATGTCAGAGGACGACTTCTTTCTCTTTGGACATTATTCAAAGTCCAAAGTCCTGACTTGAATTCAAGAGCCACCAGCTATCACTTTGAAGCACCTCCTATCACTCTCCACTCCCTGCATCCCAACCCAGTGGCCTTTTGGATGCTTCATTAACCTGCCAAGGACACTCCTATCTCAGGTAGGTGCACCTGTTGTACCACATGAATACCCATGTGGCTTACTCCCTCATTCATTCAGTTCTGCTCAATCGACGCCGGTCCTTTTCCGACCACCTTGTCTGAGAGCACATACCAGCTTTGTCTATGCCAGTGGTCGGCAAACTCATTAGTCAACAGAGTTCACAGTACAAAGTTTAAAAAATTTGGCCCTCAAAAGAAATTTCAATTGTTGTGCTGTTGATATTTATTTGATTATCAATAGTACAATGATTGAAATTTCTTTTGAGAGCCAAATTTTTTAAACTTAAACTACATAGGTAGGTACATTGTTATTAACTTAATTAGGGTACTCCTAAGCTGGCTTTTGCTAAAACCTCAAGGGGCCTAAGAGCCGCATGTGGCTCACGAGCTGCAGTTTGCCACCACTGGGACTCTATGCCATTCCTCTGCTACAGTAGCCCTGTACTTATCAGTATCACCACCTGATCTATATCGCACACCTATTTCTTATTTTTTGGGTGATTGGCATCTCCACTGGAATAATCTCCATGAAGGCAAGGACTTTATTTGTTGTTCACTGCTCTTTGTACAGTGAGCCCTAGTGAGTAAACAGTTGTACCCATCATATGTATGTACTGGTGTGTATGTTTGGAGACTCAAAGAATGAGGATGAGATTATCATTTATTGAGCACCTACTTTGTTGCTAAATATATATATATATATATATATATATATATATATATATATATACACATACACACACACACACACACATATATATATGTGTGTGTGTATATATATATATATATATATATATATATATATAATCTCAAATAATTCCCACAACAATCTTGAAGGTAGGTATTTTTTGGTCTTATGTGAAGAGCAGAAGAAACTAAGGCTCAAGGTCTTTAATCAGACAGCTCAAGGTCATGCAGCCAGTAAGGGACCGACTCTACTGCTCACTTTTTATATACGTTATGATATCTTTGACATATTAGCTTCCATTTTCCTCCTGACGTCTCCTCGCCTATCCTCGTTTTGTATTTCCTGAACTTGCCTGTCCTCAGTTAGTATTTCCTGGACTGACAAAGGCAGAAAGCGGAAGCTGCCTGAAGACAAAGGTTTTCCTACTTTTAAAAAATCCTATAGATGGTGCCTGGTGTGTACAGAGGAGGGTTCTCACTGCCTACTCTTGGCAGGGGAGCCCAGAGCCACTGGACTTCAAGGGACTGCAGGACGCAGGAGGCACCCAGACTTCACCATTTGGGGTACCATACACACCTAGGACATTCTGATGCAACTGGTTTCCATTCAGCCTCACAGGATAGGGGCTTATGTCCACTGTAAATTGACTTACTTTTTTTTTTTTAATGTGCATTCCTTGTACACCTGGCTAAGATTTATACCAGCTGCACATAGATGAAGCACAATGATTGAAATCACAATCTAAGTCCGATTCTAAAATATTACCCATCGACCTCTGAGACCTCCTATTAGTCATCCCCCTTACAGCTCCCCAATCCTCTCCCAGCCCCCAAATTCCCTCGCTTACAGGGCTCCAGTCCAAAGCCTTCCACCGGCCACAGGGGGTCTCCACACACTCCTCCTCTGCCAGTGGTCGAGGCAGGGCTGTGCAGGCGCTCTCCTCGGCCACGGAGCCGTCTTCTTCCCGGCAGCTGACATACCTCATCCGGGTCCCTTTTCCACAGGTGGCTGAGCACTGGGTATTGGAGCAAAAGCATGCAGAAATGTTACTGAGGCGGTCACTACCTAGACAGGGACCCACTTTCTATGGTCACATCAGAGAGCACCTGCCACCGCCCCAGCTTCGACCATTTGATTTCTTACTGGAGTCCAAGACCCAAAGCGCCACTGGGTTCTTGGCGCAGTGTGCGTGCTCCTCCTTGCTTCAGGGACAGGTGGCGGAGGGTGACAAGATGGCAATTCGCAGTCCTAGATGTGAGAAGGGGGGGCACCAACTAGATGTCAAATTGGGCAGAGATATACAGTAGCCATTGTTATACAGTATTTCCAGCACACAGACATGCACTCAGCTAAAAACCTCAAGAGCACAGTCAATAGTAAGAAGCAGGAACAAGCCAGCACCAGGACCTGACACTATTAGCTGAACCTCATATTGAAATCATTAAAACCACAAAGAAAATAACACCAAACAATCAACATGTGCCATCCAATAAGAATCAGAGTCAAACCTACATACATCTCAAATGACCAGAGAAGAACAAAACTGGTACATCAAAATACTAGATTAAAAATGTAACAAATAAGCACATCCAGAACCATTTAATCAACAGTTTTCTCTACTTACACACTTACCTGTGAAAAGACTTGCCCATGAAAAGAACCACTGGGAAGCTTTGGCATCTCAGTGCCCAAAGCCCATAAAAGAGTTGAACGAAGGAGACTCACCTGGACCTCAGTTGGTCTAGCTGCTGCGTTGCAGACATTGACATCCACCACTGACACGCCATAGGTCCCAATGATGCACTGCACCACTCTTTGCTGGTATCCCCGCCCACAAGTGACACTGCACTGGGGGAAAGGAACAAAACACAAGTATATACAATTCAGCAACATTTCTCTTTCCCTTACTTTCCACATTACATTCTACAAGAGAAAAAAACAGTCCCATCACTGTGGGCCAGAGGGTAGGCACCCAAAGAAAGCAGGTAAAAGTAGGCCATCATGCTTTGTAAAAACTTGAAATTATTTCTATCTCCATTGAAATTATATCTGTAGGAGTTCAGTTCCTTAACTGTGAACCCATGGAAGAAGAAGAGCACATTTCAATAATTTTTACACCTTTCACACTATAGTTACCAGTAACATGAAAAATAGTATGGTAGATACTCAAAGAATTTAACATAGAATTGCCATATAACCCAAAAATTTCTCTTTTAGATATATATCCAAAAGAATTGAAAGCAGAGTCTCAAAGAGAGATAATTATACACACATGTTTATAGCAACATTAGTCACAATAGCCAAAAAGTGAAAGCAACCCAAGTGTCCTTTAACAGATGAATGCATAAACAAAGTGTGATATATATGTACAATGGATTATTATTCAGCCTTAAAACTTTTAGGAATAAAATGATGATATTATGCCAATAAAATAATCCAGTCCCAATAGGACAAATAATAACGATTCTACTTCCAGAAGTATCCGGGATAGTCAAATGCATAGAGAAAGTAGACTAGTGGTTGCCAGGGGCTGGGTGGAGGGAAAATGGGCAGTTAGTTAATGGATAGTTTTTTCAATTTAATTTTCACCCAAGGATATATGTGTGTTTTTTTATTATTGATTTGAGAGAAAGAGGGAGGGAGGAAGGGAGAGAAAGAGGAAGGGAAGGAAGGAAGGAGGGAGAGAGGGAGGGAGGGAGAGAGAGAAAGAGAGATTGATGTGAAAAAGAAATATGCATTGGTTACCATCTGTATGTATGCACCCCAAGTGAAGATTGAGCCCTACAACCTTTTGGAGTGTGGGCTGATGCTCTAACCAACTGAGCCACCTGGCCAGGGCAATGGGTAGAGTTTTCGTTTTGCAAGATAAAAAGTTCTGGATATTGGTTGTACAGCGATGTAAATATACTCAAGACTATTGAACTATACACTTACAAATGGTTAGAATGGTAAATTTTATGTTATCTGTATTTTATCACAATTACAAAATTTTAAATAATGGGATAAGGACTTGAATAGACATGTTTCCAAAGAAGATATACAAATGGCCAAAAAGTTCATGAAAAGATAGCCAACAAGTCCTTAGAAAAATGTAAGTCAAAACCTTAGGTGTCATTATTAAAAAGTGGGAAAATAAGAAGTGTTGGCAAGGATGTAGATGAGTTGGAACCTTTGTGTATTACTGGTAGAAATGTAAAAGGGTACAGGTTCTGTGGAAACTGGTGGTTAAAATGTTAAACACAGAATGATCACATAACTCATCAGCACCACTCATAGGTATATACCCCAAAGAATTGAAATCAGGTACTAAAAAGGACACTCATTCAGCACTATTCACAATATCCAAGAGGTATGAATAACCCAAATATCCAATGAGGGATGACTGGATAAACAAGTGTGTTATATCCACACAATGGAATATTACACAGCCATAAAAAGAAACAGAGAAAAGAGGTGTGCTACACCTAAAACCTGGGTCACCCCTAAAAACATTATGCTATTTAAAAGAGCCAGACACAGCCCTAACCGGTTTGGCTCAGTGAATAGTCAGCCTGCTGACTCAAGGGTCCCAGGTTCGATTCCGGTCAAGGGCATGTACCTTGGTTTCAGGCACATCCCCAACAGGAGGCAGCTGATTGATGTTTCTCTCTCATCTATGTTTCTAACTCTCTCTCCCTCTCCCTTCCTCTCTGTAAAAAAAATCAATAAAATGTTTTTAAAAAATCCAGACACAAAAGGTCCAATATTGCATGATCCCATTTATATGAAACACTTAGAATAAGTAACTACACAGAGGCAGAAAGCAGACTGTGGGCTCCAGGACCTCCGGGGAAGAGTCCACAGGGAGTAACTGCTGAGAGAGTGTCCTGGGGCCGTGGAAATGTTCTGGAAGTAGACAGAGGTGGTGACTACACGCTATGAATACACTCAATGACACTGACTTGTTCACTTTGAAATGGTTAATTTTGTACATAAATTTTACTTCAACTAAAAAAGCCTAAATCTAATCTTAATATAAAAATACTTATAAAAATATTATAGAAAAATCATATACATATTAATAATGTAATATCTGCAGTGTAGTTAGAAGTATGTTTGGTTTTCTTCTCTTTGATAAATAACACTTAGCAAAATTTTTCTTAGGAACAGGCATGACTCTTTAATATTTAAAAAAAACACAATATTCTGTTGCCCTGAATTGCACATTCAGGCAAAGAAAGAACCAGTCTCTAGCTAGGATTGGTCTGGTGTGGACAGGGGTCAAAAACAGGCCCAGCAGTTCTAACCGGTGCTCAATTCCAACCTTACCAACGACACTAAGCTGTGCACCTCTCCTTGCTGACTCCCTAAGATGATGCAGAAGGAGACAAAAAGGAGGCGACATGAGAAGCGGGTGTGGACTCTCCCTGTGTGCAGAGCAATCAGCCCACGTTTTGACTGGGGACGCTGGGTGAGGGGAGGATTCGGAAGAGTGTGAATACTAATGACAGAAAATGCAGGCATGAAAACAAAGAAGTCAGCTGGAGGAATGAAGTGGCTGAAGCTGGGAATGGACCATGTGGAAGGAGAGCCATTCTTCAAGATATTACGTAAGTGACAGCGGACAGCTGCATTGCTTCCCTTGGGAACCCAGAGCTACTTAAATAGGACCAGAATGCTTTTTGCTTCCATATTGGGAAGGATGTAATCTCAAGAGCAGTGGCCAGGGAGACGTCCACTCTCCTTTAAGAGCAGGTCTCATCAAGAGTTAAAACCCACTCAGAAAAGACTTGCAAAGAGAGCTGATTCTGCAGCCTTGGACCTAATTAATCTGTTTGAACAGTCTGAGTATTTATGAAAGGTGAGCACTGGAAAGGTGAGCACGGGTCTAGTAATAATTAATGTCGTTTTTAAACATTTGTTTAAAATCTTGCTTGGCGTTGACTTGTATTGACATAACCTTCAAACACGTGGTATCTACAGAACGTGTGAAGTGCAATTAACAAGTATTGCTTGAAAAAGTTTGTGTTTGGTTTGGTTTTTGTTGCAAAACTAGGGCTAAGAAGATGGCGGATGAAGAGCATATTCGGCACTGCATGCTTTACGAGTTCCAATTAGGAAGAAAAGCAAGTGAGGCTGCAAAAAACATCTGTAGTGCTCTTGGTCAAGATGCAATTAGCGCCAGAAAATGCCAGCGTTGGTTTGAGAAATTTCACGAGGGAAATTTTTCGTTAGATGACAAGAGTGGTCGAGGCCGTGTGTCCAATTTTGATGAAGAAGCTCTTCAAGCTCTTTTGGTGCAAAATCCTCAAATTACCCAACAAGAGCTTGCGACAACTTTAAATTGTTCACAAAAAACAATTTCCAATCAATTGCGTGCACTTGGCAAAGTCCAAAAGTTTGGAAAATGGGTTCCTCATGAGTTGACCGACAACAACCGTAATCAAAGAGTCACAATTTGCAGTTCGCTCCTCTCTCGTCAAAACCGTTTGCCATTTTTAGAGCAAATTGTTACCAGAGATGAAGAATGGGTGCTGTATGTTAATTTGAAAAGGCGGCCTCAATGGTTGGACAAAAATGAGGCTCCGCAGTCCACCCCAAAACCTGACTTGCATGCGAAAAAAGTGTTGTTGTGTGTTTGGTGGAATTTTAAAGGAATTCTTCATTATGAACTTTTACCATCTAACCAAACCATTACAAGTGCAGTGTATAGTGCCCAATTGGAAAGGTTAGCCCAAGCTTTAAGAGAAAAAGAACCCACGCTGATTAATCGGAAGGGCGTAATTCTTCACGACGATAACGCACGACCGCACACTGCAAGAATCACTGCTGAAAAACTGCGCCAGTTGGAATGGGAAGTTCTCCCTCAACCTGCATATTCTCCTGATATTGCCCCTTCCGATTACCATTTGTTTCGTTCTTTGCAAAACTTTCTTCTTGGAAAAAAATTTAATAATGAAGAATGCCTCAAAAATGCATTGACCAAATTTTTTGCATCAAAATCACAAGAATTTTACAACAGAGGGATTAAAATGCTTCCTGAGTGTTGGGCACAAGTAGTAGAAAACAACGGCAACTATATTGTTGATTAAATTTTGTTGTATTGTTTAAATAAATTCGATTTAAAAAAAAGTATTAGAAAACGAAATTAATTATTACTAGACCTAATAACAGTGGGAGCCACAAGGTCCCATCCTAATCCCAGTCCAGACCCTCCTGCAAAGATCTGTGACAGACGCACAGGACACATGAGAAGAGAACATCAGCCAGACTCCAGATCTGTTGTGACAAGTTCCAACGCTCGTGTCTCAATCTAGTCTTAATCCCAGAGAACAGACAGGCACGCGGGTCTGCAAAGGGGACAGTTGGCTGCAGGAGGGCCAGGGCAACCCTGGGAAGCGGGGCAAAATGGGGGCAGGGTTTCTCCTGTTGGGCTCAGAGCACCAAGGCCCAGAGCGGTGAGAGCAGTGGGGAGGCCTGCAGTTGGCATGCCCACGGTAAGCGCTCTCCTGGTGAAAGGAAAGAATGCAGTTAAGAACTTTATCTTTGAAATACCTGTCCCCAGGGACCCGCCTGCCAGGACGCACATTCTGGCTGCTGACAGGTCTGCACGGAGGCCGGCTTGGTCTGAGGGTCACAGATTCTGTCGTCTAATCGATCTTCGCCGAACTGACACCACACCTGCCGGTGCTTGTGCCCTTCCCCGCAGCTGACCAGGCACTGCAACGGAAGCACAGCCAGTCAGGCCCACTTGTCAGCGCGGAGGGGCCCCGGGGCCCTCCTGACCGGCAGGACCGGGAGTGCTCTTTCCCACAGCAATTTCTCTCTCCCAGCACCATGGGAAAGAGCGAGGCTCATTCCCTCCCTCATTCATTCACTCACCCATTCATTCATTCACTCACTCACTCTGTATTTATACAAAATCCAGTTTCAAGCACAGAAGAAACTCAACACAGCGCCATGCATGCTCTGAAGAACTGAAGAGCAGCATTTACAGTTTTCTCGCCAGGGGGTCAGGTGTGGGGAATTCAGAGTCAGATCAATCTGGGTTTTAATTCAGAGGTCACGTGACCCCTCTGTACCTCAGTTTCCTCATCTGTACCAGGGAGACAATAGCGCTTACTGCCAAGACTTGTGAAAACTAAATGAAAACAAATCCAACTAAAGTGCTTACCCTATGTTCATCTAATAAATATTAAATATAATCACTATTGTCTATGCTCATTGTAAGAAACTTGAAAAGTACAGAAAAACATAAAAGAGAAATCTACAGTGATCTCCAAAGAATCATTAACATGTTGCTGTCTGTTTGTTACCTATGGGGTGCTGGGCATACTGAAAATAGCCTATAGTTTGAGAACACTGGCTTGCGCTTTATCAAGCATTCTTGCCCAAGTTTGATACTTACTTTGAAATGCTACTTTAGTTCATGCTAGCTATCTAAGAAAAATAAACCCAGTACCTTCTCTTCTTTCATCTTTTTCAAAACAATACAGGGGTTTAAGAGAAGGCAGCTTGTTCACAGTGAAAGTTGTTAACAGGCTTGTTGGCCACTGTCCAGAAGAAGACACCGCTAATCACATGCACCACAGCTTGCCTGTCATTAAAGGGGCATTAACAGTGTCCTCTTAAGAGTCACATTCTATGTGATGCTAAAAGCGAACAGCTCCCCTGCGCTTGTGTAGATGGGGTAAAGGGAGTGCACGCAGAGGGAGCTAACAGGAAAACCTCTTCCCCGCGTTCCTGACTTGGCCCATAAACCAGCGAACTTCGGTTTTTCTTCCATTTGCTGGCCAGAAGGAAAGTGGAAGGAGTCACCACTGGGTGGAGTGCCGGGTGTATGCCAGTGGTGAGCACCAACAGGCCTAACAGCATGAAAGCGTCTCCACGGAGCTCCACCCTAAGCTTCCCCAGGTAAGGGGCCAGAAAGCATAAACCCAGAATGCCAGGCAGCCTTTTTCCTATCCCGTTTCCACTAGCACCTGGACAGATACGTGAGAGGCCACTGGCGTGGGTCTGATTCTCCTACGTCACAGATGAGGAAGCAGGACACCTCATTATTTATTGTAGGCCTAAGCCAGTGCGTCTTTATCATTCCTGAAGCCTAGATTCCCTTTGCAGTGACCTCGCTGGAGATCAAAGGGGAAGGGAGCAGAGAGAAGGACTGGAACTTCAAAATCACAAACAAAAGCTGCCCTGGCAGGTGATGCAGCTAGCCTGGCGGTGCCTCCGAAGCCGCCAGTGGGCCCTCCCATCCAGTATGGCAGTCCTGGGGTGGGTGGGGGACTCTGGTGGTTTCCTCAATGGAAGGTGCAGAAAAGGCACAGCAGGTTTAACCCTGAACCACCGGGGGTGGGGAGAGGGTGGCTTGGAGTTGGAATGTCAGAGATGACAGCCCTGCCCTCTCACCTCGGACCAGTCTCCCGATTTCCACCGAGGACAAGGGAACTCGTTGCACCTCTGAACGGTGACTTTCTCTTGATGCGTGCATTTGCTATCATCCAGGACATCATTTTGGGTGTTGACACAAACAGCCCTTCTCCTCTGGATTCCACCATCACAGCTTTCAGAACACTGAAAAGACAAAAGAAGAAATAAAACCAAGTTTCTTGCCAAGCATGCTTGAGATCCCGGCTGAGCTAGCTTGTCTCTGTCAGACCTTAAGACCTAACCAATCAACCAACCAACCAACCAACCAATCAACCAACCAACCAAGATTGGCCAATCTGGTGGTTATTTTGGGGCTATCTGTTCACATTATCAACTTACTTAACAGGTTTACGGTGAAGTCAATCAATGGGCACAGAAAAGTAAAGTTAGGAATGGCCACGGGGTATGAGAAAGTGAGTTGTTGAGTAGGTAGACCATTGCCAACTTCCCACATGCCATGGCCGCGTCAGACATCACAGATTAACTATGGCACCCTTCTTGGAAGATTTCGAATGGGGTCAGTCATCATAAATCAATCGTGGTCCCCTTTCTACACAGCTACACGGGGTTTCTCAACGCAGCCCTAAGGAGTGAATTAGCTGATTCATCCTCATCCACTGATCAGACTCAGCACTGGAAAAGACTGTCTTTCTGAGAGAAGCCACTCACCTCAGTCCAAGCAGAATAGTGCCAGCCCCCGGTGTTACATTCTCCCGAGCATTTTTCCTGGCTGCTTGGTCTGGGGTGACTGCTGCAAAAACTGTCATCCACCTTCTCGGTCCTCCCATCCAGCCGGCTGTACCTGGCACAGTAGATGTCTAACGTGCGGTAGCCCAGGCCACACTGGGCACTGCACTCACTCCTGCTGGCCACCTGCCACCTGCGCACACCGGGAAGACACCAAGACTTCTGTTAAGTACGTCTCATCATAATATGAACAATAAAGATTTATTTAAAATTTAAAAAAAGTATGTCTCATCTACAGGCAGCTGGTGGGAGAGCTGATTTCATCCCCTCCCCCTTAACTCAAATACCATGAAACCATGGTCAGCTACTGAAATCCAATTTTAAACCAACACATCCCTGTCTTTTTCATGGCTGCCAACATACATAAAAGCCACAGAATGGTAACTAGAGGTTCTGTCTTTGTAAAGGTTCTCTCCTGATACAGTCAATCTGAAATTCAAGCAACCAAAAGGGAAAAAGAAAACAGCAGAAGTCAACAGAGCAAAAGAGCAATTTCATATTTAAAAGGTTTGTGCTACCCAGCATTTCATTTATCAAACAGGCTGCTTCCAACAGAGAACCACTTTGGAACCCCTGTGCTCATTGGCCCTGTGCTAGGAGGTGTGCAGCGAATTCTCTGTGAGTAATAAAGGAACACCATTGAGCCAGACCAGCTAGCTAAGGAATAGATTGCTTGCACTGTAATTGTGGAGTTAAGCTGTGTACATTACTACCCGCGAGTAAAGACCTGAAGTTACTTGAATACAAGGACCATAGTCAATACAACTCAATTATATAATTTTTTAAAAAAGAGACTTTATTTTATTTTTTTTATTTTTAGCAGTTTTAGGTCCATGCTAACGTTGAGAGGAAGCATGGAGATTTCCCATATACTCCCTGACCTCCTCCCCCCTCGCTGGATCCTCTATTATCAGTTTCCCCCACCAGACTGGCACGTTTTTTAATAAATGAACCTACGTTGATACTGCCTTATCACCCAAAACCCCTAGTTCCCATTAGGATTCACTCTTGGTGTTGTACATTTTATGAGTCTGGACAAATGTGTAATGACATGTGTTCATCATCCTATATGATAAAAGGGTAATATGCAAATTGACCAAATGGCAAAAACTATCAGTTGCTATGATGCGCACTGACCACCAGGGGGCAGGCGCTCAGCCAGAACCCAGGCTCATGGCTGGCGAGTGCTGTGGGGGTGTTGGGAGCCTCTTCCACCTCTGCAGCAGCACTAAGGATGTCCGACTGTGGCTTAGGCACACTCCCCACAGGGCACGGGCCTAAGCTGTCAGTCGGACATCCTCCAAAGGCTCCCGGACTGCAAAAGGGCGCAGGCCAGGCTGAGGAACTCCCCTCCATCCAGTGCACAAAATTTCGTGCACTGGGTCTCTAGTTATAACATAATACAATACTCTAGAACAGTGGTTCTCAACCTTCCTGATGCCGCAACCCTTTAATACAGCTCCTCATGTTGTGGTGACCCCTAACCATAAAATTATTTTCATTGTTACTCCATAACAGTAATTTTGCTACTGTTATGAATCATAATGTAAATATCTGTGTTTTACCATGGTCTTAGGCGACCCCTGACAGCAGTTCTCAACCTATGGGTCATGACCCCTTTCATAGGGGTCGCCTAAGACCGTCAGAAAACACAGATATTTACATTACGATTTGTAACAGTAGCAAAATTGCAGTTATGAAGTAGCAAGGAAAATAGTTATATGGTTGGGGGTCAACACAACATGAGGAGCTGTATATTAAAAGGTCGTGGCATTAGGAAAGTTGAGAACCATGGCTCTAGAGAGTATATGTACTGCCTTAAAACTCCTCGCGTTTCACTTGTTATTTTTCCTTATTGCTCTTCAATTACATATTTTAAAAACTAGTTTTGAATCCACAGATCCCTGTAGCTTTTTTTGGCACACAGCAGGTGCTCAGAATGGGATAATAAATTCTTTCAATGCTCAGGAACATGGTCAGTGCTTAAAGAAAAAAATGCTTAAATTGAATTTTTTTAGAATAGTCTAAATAAATAAACTTGAAATATATTGTGTCAACTCTAATAACTGAAAAAGATTGCTTTCTTTATCATCTTCCTTTGGATTTGCTCTTTATTGTTAATTCTGTTTGTTCAGAAATTTGGTGGCGTGGTGAGGCCCTACGGATTTTCCATCCACACCTGTCCGGGGCGAGGACGTGGGAAGAAAATAGCTCTGGACACGTGCTTATCTAGGAATTCCTCACTCATGCTCACAAGCAGGTCAGAGTTGACCTACTTTTACATTTGGCATGTAAAGTGGGCTGATGGGATTGTGCTCTAATCGGAACATGTTACACGAGGGACAGTAAAACAACGCTTTATCTCATCCTGCCAAAGTTTAATCAGGGCGAACCCTCACTTCCCCGGGGAAGTGAGGCAAAACCCGGGACCAGTTCAGCAGAGGCATCTGGCACTTTCATCTGCCCTTTGGTTCCTGGCTACCTCCTCTTTGCCTTCCTCACCGTTTCCTTGTGGAAAGGTTATTTTCCATCCTGGATGAGGGAGGCAGGAGTCCCGCCCCCGCAGCGCAGGCTGGAAAAGCTGGTGCAGACTCCCCGATAGTCACACAATGCCCGGAATCCGAGCAGAGAACCTGCAAGAGTGTCAAAGGTCACACACTGCCCTGGGAAAGTTCTCAAATTTTGATCCTTTGCTTCACAGCCTCTCCCTTGAAGGTGGTCTCAACTGCAGTGTTTTGAGTTCATTCGATTCATTTCATGTAGCAATTGAATTTTGTTACTCTATTTCAGAAAAGCAAAGTGTCTGTTAATAAGTGGAAACAGAAAAAATGTGCTGTGTCTATGGGTGTGTGTGGCATTGCTCTGGGAGCTACGATTTAAGGAGAGTTTTACACGCAGACTTTCTCAAAGCCTTCAAAATGCTCCTCGGCCCTCATCCACACAGGGGAGGAGACAGTCAAACATCCTGGCCGGCCAGCGGTCATCTCATGGAGCTAGGGCTCCGCAAGCATGCTTTGGGCAAAACTATTTCAGAGTTTGACCATCAGTGACAATCCGCTCCTCAGTCTTCGCTTTGCACGTGGCCACTTGGCAATACTCGGTATAAATCGCAGTCACAGAAACCGTCAGGGAGACAGAAGAAAGAGAAACACCTCTTTGGGGCTCGGTTTGTGTCTGGGTGTGATTTTCAGTGAACAACTTCCACCAGACGTTTCCACTGAGAGAGATGGCTACCACTCCTTTGCCTTTTCTTTTATCAGCCACAGGCGCTGCCAAGCCTGTGCCCTGAGCTGCTGTCCTCCTTTGGGCCCAGTAGAGTCCAAGTATTTCTTTTTTTAAGCTAAGAATAAAAAAAGATGCCTTTCTCTGAACAGGAGATTTAGAATAGCAACTTTGACATACCTATTATATGATGAAATGAAAAGATTTTAAATCCTGGTTTCACCTTGGTCATGGGAAATGATTTTTAATAAAAGCGAGAGGATGATTTACGAAATCAGAAAGACTTAGGTGTGAACGCGTGCTCTAAGACTTTTTGGCGATAGGCCCTAAGCGGGTCATTTAACCCCAAGCTTCAGTTTCCTTGTCTGTGAAATGGGGAAAATGGGATTCTTTTCACGGGACTACTGGGAAGGTGAGAAGGCCAGGCATGTGTACATTGAATACCATGACACCCACACAGGAAAAGTAGCTATTAATTACTACTACTGTTCTTGGTGTTTTATTTTCCGGCCAAATTCAAGTATCACGTACCTCCTCAAAAACCACAACACAGTTTGAGGAGATATCCAGGTGAGGTCTGCCATATACAATGAGTGGCCAGATTATTATGATCTCTGAATGCATAATAATCTGGCCACTCTGTGTATATCCTATGTAATAAAAGGATAATATGCAAATTTCCCCTTGACCAGGAGTTCGACCAGCAGGCAGGCTGGCCAACCGCCCATGTCCCCTCCCCCTGGCTAGGCTGGCTGGACCCCACCCATGCACAAATTCATGCACTGGGCCTCTAGTGTACACACACACACACACACACACACACACACACAAACATAGTGGCCAGATTATTATGCATTCAGAGATCATAATAATCTGGCCACTCAGTGTAATTCTTTGTAAGTCTCATGGATTCGAGGCACCCATTCAGTGTATTTGCTTTCTAAAATTTGTTTTGTGATTTAATATCTGAGAGCTTCCAGTACAGGAGAAACTCTGGGAGGCCATCAGATTAGCTGGCATCACTACCAACTACCTGGTAGCTGACTGGAATTTGTTTGAAGTGAGCATTTTTAGTTCCTTGAAGTAACAGTTCAAACATCAGCTCCACCTCAAATTGTTGCTCCTTGGAACACTTAAGCAGGTTCCTAAAGAATCTTTTTTTTTTTTTTTTTTTTTTTTTTTTTTTTTTTTTTTTTTTTTTTTTCTGGTAAGGTCATGTCCTAGTACTGGAGATGCTTTGCGCAAACTCGTCTTCCCCACAATGAGAGGAGCATGCTTAGTGCTGCAGCAGGAGCCCCACAATATCTGCACTTGTCACTCGAGATGCCCCCATCATCACAGTCTCCTGGTCTGACCCAGCCAGTGCACAAATGACAGTGAAGGGGTCAAGGAAGAGAGAGAACAGGAATGTCCTACGAGGTGTTTCTTTTCACAAAGGAAGAAAAGCTACACAAAATGAGATTAAGGAATATCACTCACTTTGCCTGAATTCAAAATGAAAACAGCCCTCTCCAAAGAGTAAGGCCCAAAGGTCAGACAGAACATATTTAAATCTTGCCCCCTCACTAACTAGTTGCGTGACCTGGGGCAATTTGCTTAATTTCTCTCACCCTGTGTTGCTTATTAGATTATTAATGAGATAATTAGGACATTAATATAATATATTAACTAATAAGTAGGATAATATTATGTATTCTAGAGGTCCATTGCATGAAGATTTGTGCAGAAATAGGCCTTCCTTCCCCTGGCTTTGCTCCCGGCCGCTCAGGAGCCTGCAAATTCTTGCTCCCAGCCAGAGCGCCCCTCTTGTTGTTCCCTCCACCTATGCCCTCCCCCTAATAGCAGGCATCCCACCCAGCCCAGTTGCTCCATGCCTGTGTATGCAAATTAACCCACCATTTTTTGTTGGGTTGATTTGCATACTCATTGGATTGGCTGATGGTCAATTTGCATATTCTCTTTTATTAGTGTAGATATGTGATTATGTATGAACTATCCTATTAACAAAAGACTATTAATAGAATCATATATAACTTTAAAATAATCCTTGAGGAAGAACCAAGATGATGGCATATGTAAACACCTATACTTGCTGCCTCTCACAATACATAAAAATTCCAATTAAAAGGCAAAACAACTACCACTCAGAACCACGGGAAAGTTGGCCGAGTGGAAGTTCCACAACTAGAGAGGCGATGAAAGTGCATGGAGACTGGTAGGAGGTGCAGAGACGCGGAAAGTGCTGGCACCTGGATGTGTTGCTCTTTCAATCAGAAGGAAATACAAGCTCCCGCTTGCTCTGAATTCCAGTTCCCAGTGAGACTCTGAGAGACCCAGACACATACAGGGTCAAACTGGATTGTCTGGCATGGGGACAGGAACGTGAAGGCAGCTTTCTCTCAGAGGTACTTGAAGCGATCATTGTTCCTGCACTAGGAAGTGGGATGTACAGGCCTAGGGATCTCTCCAGTGCAGGGTTGACTGGCAGCCATTGCTGTTTGCTCCCTCTGGTGATTCCCAGAGGCCTTGCTCCACCCAATTCACGACCCCACCCAAGCTGTGTGCATCCGCTTTTGCATATGAATGGCCTGTCCTTTCTCTATCAAAACCTGTCTAGTTGCTGCTGGGTCATAGAGCCCCAGAGCTTCCAAAAGAAAGCTCAAGGCCACCTACCTTGCTTCACAACTGAGCCTCATCTAGATACTTTCAAACCCCATACAAAGAGGAGGAATCTGCAGATGTTTCTGTAGCTTCTGCTGGACCCAGACAGTGGCTGACCTTTCACATCCTTGGAGATGCAAGAGCAGTATACCCAGTGGACAGAGTGAGACCATACAAGATTACAACTCTTCACATCCATAAGAGACACACTCAAGGGGCAGGCTCAGTGAGCACCAAAGTCCCACTGAAGCATGTCCTACCCCATAAGTGTGTCTCCTGTGCAACAGATCTTCCAGTGTAGACACAGCTGGTCATCACAGCCAATTGGCCTGGAGGTCAATTTCTCCCAGTGATACCAACAGCAATCAAGGGTTAACTAGAAGACTGTGCACACAGCCCACAAAGGGGTGCAACAAGAGTGTCCACCTCAGGTGACTGGGGAGGCTGAGCCAGTGGGCCCTATAGGACAACTACCACACAAGGCCACTCTATCAACTCAAGGAGACTTAGCAGCTACCCAGTACATAGAAACAAACACAGGGAAGCAGCCAAAATTCAGAGACAAAGAAACAAGTCACAAATGAAAGAAATGATGAAAGCAAAAGACTGGATATAGAGTTCAAAACCACAGTTATAAGGTTACCCAAGAATCTTCTAGAAATCTCCAAAAAATTCAGTGAGATCCTCAAGGATATGAAAAAGGACCAGTCAAAAATTAAGCATACACTGACTAAAATAAAGAAGAGTATACAGAGATTCAACAGCAGACTAGTGGATCCCAAGAATCAAATCAAAGATTTGAAATACAAAGAAGCAAAAAACACCCAACCAGAAAAGCAAAAAGAAAAAAAGAACCCAAAAGGTTGAAGATAGTGTAAGGATCCTCTGGGACAATTTCAAATGTACCAACATCCAATTTATGGAGATGCCAGAAGAAAAGAGAGAGCAAGATACTCAAAACCTATTTGAATAAATTATGACAGAAACCTTCCCCTACTTGGTGAAAGAAATAGACTTACATGTTGGGAAAGTGCAAAGAACCCCAAACAAGAGGAATCTAAAGAGGACCATACAAAGAGACATCATAATTAAAATGCCAAGGTTAAAAGATAAAGAGGGAATCTTAAAAGCAGCAAGAGAAAAACAGTTAGTTACCTACAAGGGCGTACCCATACAACTGTCAGTTGATTTCTCAACAGAAACTATGCAGGCCAGAAGGAAGTGGCAAGAAATATACAAAATGATGAATAGTAAGAACCTACAACCAAGATTACTCTATCCAGCAAAGCTAATGTTTAGAATTGAAGGTCAGATAAAGAGCTTCACAGACAAGAAAAAGCTAAAGGAGTTCATCACCACCAAACTAGTATTATATAAAATGCTGAAGGGTATTCTCTAAGAAGAGGAGGAAGAAGAAAAAGGTAAAGATAAAAAATTATGAACAACAAATACATATCTATCAACAAGTGAACCTAAAAATCAAATGAATAAAAAACGTGGTGAATAGAATAGACTGGCGAATGTAATAGAATCAGGGGCATGGAAAGGGAGCAGACTGACAGTTCTCATGGGGAAGGGGTTGTGTGGGATGCAGGAAGAGATTGGACAAAGAGCTTACACCTATGGACAAGGTCAGTGGGAGGAAGAGTCTTGGAGTGGAGTGGGAACCAGGTGCAGGGGAGCTATGGGAGGAAAAAAGAGGAACATCTATAATAATCTGAACAATAAATATTAAAAAAAAAATTGGCAAAAAAATGTTTGAGATACAAAAAAAAATCCTTAGTAAATGGTTGACTCTTTTATTACTTGCAGAGTAGTTACTACTCTGAATAATATAATTACTATTATTGTTACGATTATTAATTATAATTGATATAAGGTTAATTGTAAAATGTCACATTTGCCAATTTATTGAGGCTGTGCTTCAAGGAATCTAAACTTTAGTGATTAATTCAGTTCAGCATTGACTAGCTAATTATTTTTTCTGAAAAGACCTTGAACTTTAGTTTAACTCAATTGGCTGAAGCAATGGGTTTGTATGGATATTGCCTATAACAAGAATTAATGCTGCCTGTGTAAATATCAGTCTTTTAAGGCCTTGGGTTTTTCTTTCTACAATGACCTCTAATAAGTGCTTTTTGACAAACCCTCATGCAAGCATATCAGTGACACGGATGGAGAGGCAGGGCAGTGGGGAGAGAGCCAGGGCTCTGAAATCAGAAACTTCAGACCAGGACTCGCAAAGATGTGGCATGTGTGCCGTGTTGCCCCTCCTATTCCTATGACAGACATGACTAATTGATCGCAGCACTGCTCATCTCTCATAACCTTGAGAATGCCTTATCATCTTCCCTCTAGCCACAGGCCTGCCAACACCACTTGGCAGGATTTGGTATGGTGATGTGGAACCTGCAAAGTGCTTAAGTGCCTATTTTGCTTGTGGTGAGACCTTTACAAATTCCCATACCATTCTATATAATTCATTCCTTTTCTGTCAAAGAAGACTAAGGCACCAACTCATCTTATCTGCATTTAACTAATATGTAGACTATACAATGCAATTCCCAGGCTACTTACTATTCAAACATAACACAATCAAGCTTATAGGCAAATGGGAAAACGATAGCATTCTCTACCCACCCACCATTTCTTGTCTCAGATTTCAGATTTAAATACAGATTGTTTGGATCCTTAGACAGCTACATACAGATTTCCTTCCAACTCCTTCTATGAGTCCACCTTGCACAGTGGTCGGCAAACTCATTAGTCAACAGAGCTAAGTATCATCAGTACAACAATTGAAATTTCTTTTGAGAGCCAAATTTTTAAAACTTAAACCTCTTTTAATACCACTTCTTCAAAATAGACTCGCCCAGGCTATGGTATTTTGTGGAAGAGTCATACTCAAGGGGCCAAAGAGCCGCATGTGGCTTGCGAGCTGCAGTTTGCCAAGGCGCATTGCAACCTTCATGTGCATGAGTTCCCCTGGAGTGGATACACTCTGGGTGATTACAGACTATTCCAGGTATTTCAAGGGATAAAGTGTCCCTCTTTTCTGTTGAGTTTCAAACTAAACTTTTGCATAAGATGTGATGCAATCATAGTGATACCATACCTCACAGTGAGTTGTGAGGGTCAAATGAAAGCTGTTTTTGGCAAGTGCCATACTTTACTAGCTATTTTTAATTCTTAAAAAAAGAGGAATAAGAAATATGTAGATGTGTGTGTTGGATAATTTCCATTTCACAGAAACATAAGGATGGGGATGGAAGATCAACATCCCCTGCACCTGGTCCTCACCCAGAGGCCTCCAGCGAGACCCCCACAGCTCAGGAGCAAAGACCATGACGAAACGCCTGCCTTACCTCAGGTCACAGTCTGTGCCGCAGGGCTCAGTGATGGGGCTTGGCTGGGGCAGCCGATCACACCTTTGATCAGAAACTGTGAGCTGATTGAACTCCCTGGTGCAAACGAGTTTTCGTTTCCGCTCTCCTAAGCAGGGGGAAAAATTAGTCAGAGAGAGTACCCTATTCCATAAACTGTTCAGACCAGGGGTTGGCAAACATGTCCTATAAAGGGTTAGATAGTAAATAGTTTGGGTTTTGTGGGTCCAATTGCCTTTGTTGAAACTCAACTCAGTCATTATGAGACAAAACCAGCCGCTCATAGACAGTATATAAACAAGTGGTGTGTCTGTGTTCCAATAAAACTTTATTTATAAAAGCAGAAGGTAGGCTGAAATTGACCCACTGTGGTTTGTCAACACCTAATTCAGAGTAAAGGAAACAAAATAAACAACGTGTCATACGACTACTACATAGATGTTTCTGGAAAGTGACAGAGCCAATTGGTTTGGCTTCCCAGGGTGTATGAAACTCTTCGATGAGGAAAGCTAACAGAGCCCTCGGCCCTCAGAAACTTGCCCAGCAGCCCAGTGTGAGACAGACTCAGAGAATGCATAGTAGAGAATTCAGGCAGATAGAAAGTTGTATAAACAGTGTGTATTTGCCTGATTCTTAAAAATAAATAAAACACTGCAATTCTTTTTTCTTTTTTTTTTAACTCAAAAACACCTCAAAGTGAACTAAGTCAGAGAAAGAAGAACTGTGAAACCTAAAAAGAAAACCAAGCTCCTAGAAACAGAGATGAGATGAGTGGTTGCCAGAGGTGTGGGCTGGGGGTAGGGATGGACAAAATGGGTTGTGAGTGGTCAAAGTTACAAACGTGCCCTTGGAAGATAACTCAGTCCTGGGCATGTAATGCAGGGCATGGTGACAGCAGCTAACAGCACTGTGCTGTCTGTCTGAAAGTTGCTCAGAGAGTAGATCTTAAAAATTCCCATTGCAAGAAAGAAAATTGTAACTACGTGTGATGACGGGTGAGAACTAAATTTCTGGTGGGTGATCCTTTCGGAATATAGCCAATCATTACACGGTGTACCGTAAACACACAATATAATAATATCCATTATTTGTCTGTAAAACTGGAAAAATGCACACAGTAACGGGATACCTCACATCCCCCAAACTCAGCTGGGAAGCTCCTACCTTGGCACGGTTTGCTGCAGGCCTGCCAGGGCCCGTGACTGTTCCAGTAGAACTGCGGGGGCCGGTCTTCGATGGGGACGTTGAACGAGTAGTACACGTTGGGGTCGAACAATTGCCCCACCGACAGCACCTGGGATGAGCGGACAAAATGGACACGGTGTTTGTGGGCCTGGTGGGAGTGGAAGCAAAGGGCCGTGGGCTCACAGCCACGCGTTTACCTGAAGCAGGAGTTCTTGTTCAATGCGGCCTGAGCAGTTGAGTTTCTCTATGAGGTTGTCGGAGCCACTGTACTCGATCAGAGCCTTCCCGATGCGGATCTCCTTCTTGGCCATCGTGATAACGAAGTTCCCATTTAAGTAGAACTCGCCGTCAGTGCTCGATAGCGCTGTAGGTAAGAAAACAGATTCCACCGGTTTGCCGCCAATGGCTCCCTGATGAAGGATTGTGACATAACGCTTGGGTGAGGAGTCAGAGTGCAAAGGACATGGACTTTTCAGGCAAACAGGCATGGGCTCCAGTCCTAGCTCTGCCAGCTGCAGGCTCCAGGGCCTTGGGAAATCACCTCCTCACCTCAGTCTCCATTTCTTTATCTCACAGACAGAGATAACCACACCTATCCTTCAAGGTGCCTCTCAAGGTTAAGAGAAGTCCAAGCATCCTGATTAGTCTAAGATTTGTTATACAAGCCCCACAATTACTGGGTTTGACATGGAAATAGGAGTGTCATGATGTAAAACGAGGTACAATGAATTAAACACAAAACGGATCCCCACGCAAATATCCCTCCTGACTTCACATTGGCTTTAGTCGGGCTTATGAAGTTTTTTTTGTGTGACAGATGTGGAGACCTGAAGGTCCATGGCCAATCTGCCACATGTGTGCTTAAATGCCACATTTTCCATGAGGCCCAGCCTCCAATCGGGCCCAGTGAACTCACCTCGTGGGTCATCCCCTCCCCCATGGCATAGCACTGACCATGTAGTCTTTAGGACACTGCAGAAACGACACTGTGACTTCCAAGGCCAGGTCAAAGGCATGTGGCTCTGCCCTGCTCTTCCCTGCATCTCTGGTTTCAGGGAGAAAAGCCAGCTGCCATATTGGAAGGAAGCCTAAGCAGCCCATGGAGGGCCTTCTTGCAAACAGCAGTGAGGACAGAGGCCTCTCCCAACGGGTCCGAGGGAGGCACCTGGGAGGTGGATCTGCCAGCCCCAGTCAAGCTTTCAGATGCACAGACACCTCACGTCAGAAACACGCAGTTGTGCTGCCCGGAATTCCTGACACACAAAATCTGGAGACCCTCTGTATCTGTTCTGTGAAGCAGCCATAGTTTTGGAGGGTTTTGTTTTGTTTGTTTGTTTAATCTTTTTTTTAAAGCTTCTTCACCTGTCTCCACAAAATTCATGGAATTCTGTCCCTAATCCAGCACTTCTCTATGCGGATTTCCACCCTAGGAGCCCCATCTGGGTCCTAAGGGGAGTGTACGATGCCATCATTTGAAATGGTGGGGAAGATCATGGAGAAGCTTTAAAAAAGATTAAAAAAACAAAACCCTCCAAAACCATGGCTGCTTCACACATTTTGAGATCATTCGTTAAACAGTAAAAGCTGTTCAACAGAACCATTCGTCTTGAATCTGCCATCCCTCCCGCGCCAGCAGATCCACATTTCCTACACCATTTCCCACTTTGTGTCTCACCACAGCACTGTTCATGCTTTCCTCCCCAAACAGGAATGTAGGCCCCCTGAGGACGGGGACCTGAGGACTGTCCTGTTCACTACTATGTATGTGCCGGCTTCCAAAGGGCACTTGGTAGGTGCTCAATACATACTTTCTTTGGCAGAATGAATGAATCTGCTGTAGATCTTAGGAAAGAGAAACCATCAGTGAAGCTGGAAAAATAATGTTGGAGAACTACCTCAGTCAAGTGCCGAGACATGAGCCAAGGCAGAACGTGACTGACAGTCAGACTGTGAGGAAGGTACACCCTTTATTGAGTGTCAGGAGAGAGCGAAGAAAGCCCCAGAAAGATTTTAAGAAGGGTATCCCTCTCAGAGGTGACCGTTGAATTCAGATGGGGAGGAAAGAACGCACCGCTCTGACATCATGACTTGAATGGAAAACTGGCAGAAATATTTACCACCTGCGTTAGTCTCCATCTACAAAACTGGGCGCGATAAAAACTAAAATGTAATCTTGTTGAACATAAACATAAGAAGAAAAATAATTGTATTCTCATACTTTTTGACTAATTTCTCAAGATGAAATCCTCATCACCTCTTTTCCCCTCGTATTTATCATTGAAGTTTTGGTTTGACGTACCAATTGGTTTTCCCAATGGCCCTGCCCCTAAACAATGAATCCTCTGAGGACTGGGCTGGACATGAAACAGGCACTCAGCAAATCAGAGATACAAACATGTGGGCTCTGCAGAAAATACTAGAGAAAAGGCCCCTCGCCTTTTATAAATTGTGCCTGATTAGTACATCTCAGCAGGAAGGGAGCCCGTGAAATACCCAGGCCACGAGTTTAGGTGAATAAAAGGAACACAAACGTTTAACGCATAGATAGCAAATAGGTTTCACCCCAGTACCAGCATCCATGGGTTGGTACTAGCTGCCCAAGAACCTACACAGGACAGGGTCCCTGGAAACTTCCTGTCTCCGCAACCTGTTAATGGCAATCTGTCTTGGCTGTGAGATGAGGAGGGACCCAGTGTTGGCCTGTCTTTTATGGAGGCAGACAGTGCACTTTCCCGCGCGGGCAGAAACAGTGTGTGTGTGTGTGTGTGTGTGTGTGTGTGTGTGTGTGTGTATGTGTGTGTGTGTAGGAGAGTTAGAGGACTGGGGGGAAGGCCGGGTGCCCCCTGTGGAGATGAAAGGGGCTGAGATGTGCAGCTCAGGAGCAGCAGGCTCTTGCTTCTCGCCCCGGGAACCTCCCAGAGCTCCCTCCGCTGGACACTGTCCCAAAGCAAAGACTCTGCAGGGTCAGGAATGAACTGCATGGGATTTGGTCCCTAATCCAGCTCTTCTTCTCTGTGGATTCCCACTCCGGGAGCCCCGGCTGGATCCTGAGGGAGCATATGATGTCGTCATTTGAAATGGCGGGGAAGATCATGGAGACAGGGGATAAAGCTTTTAGAAAGATTAAAAAACAACAACAAAACAAAACCCTTCAAAACCATGGCTGCTGCTTCTTAGCTCAAAATTGTTTGGCAATCCCTACTGCCTGCAGAATTTAGTTCACATTCCCTAGGGTAACTTTCTGTACCTTCACAGATCTTCTCCTGACCTATTTTTCCAGCCTCACCATTCAGTCCCACCGATAAACCTCAATTTCCAGTCATGTGTATCCCCAGGTCTCCATACGTTTTTCTACAGGGAAGCAATATAATAAGGTGGCTAAGGGTATACGGTCTGAAGTCAGACCAAAAAGCAATACAATTCTCCCCTTCTGTTTGTGTGATCTGGGGGAGGGGAAGGGGGGGGGTTACTTAACCTCTCTGAGCCTCAGTTTCTTGCTCAGACATGACAGGGCACACAGGCTTCCATTCCTGGCCAATCAGAATGCCTTTACTAGTATATGCATCGTCGCCCAATCAGACCGCTATTGATGCCTAATAGAGATGAGAAAGGCGTGACTTAAATACTGGCAAGTCCTTTCCCAAGGCAGGCCTCTTGTCCAGGCAGCCTGTCTCCAAAGGTGGCTAACCACCAGAGTTTTCTAAGAAGGCCGTCAACAAACAAAAACGGATTCATGCATTCTTTCTCGTGTGTACAAATACAAACCGATTATATTTAGCTACACGTTTTTTAAAAATTTAAATTGTTTGCTGCTAGACTGCAGGAGCCCCTTTAGCAAAGTGACCATTTAAAAATGCACGTTTCTAAGGCTGAGAAAGATCCCAGCAGGTGCTCAATCAATGATGTGCAAGGAGGAGTGACTGGCTGACTCTGACATTGAGATGAGGAGACAGAGTGCTGGCAGCCACATGCCTGTTTCCATGTCAGCGTGAGCCCGTCGGCCTCGCCCCACCCTCGGCTCCTGTGGCACGAGCCCCACCAGCCCGGCGAGACGCACGCGTTTCAATGGGTCACTGATAGGAGATGAAGTCGTTTCCATGGCACCAGGGCATCCGGAGACTCCTAATATGGGTCCCTTACACGACGATGGCAGGGCATGCTGCCAACAACATGACCCAGTTTCTCAAGTGAAGTCGCCTGCTAGCCACCCAGCTGATGCTTCAGGAAAAAGGGGGAAGGAAGGTGTCAGCAGGCCGGTCTGCACAGGAAGCTGTGATCCAGTTCTGCTCGGATTCCAAGAGCAACCGCTTATTCTAGGGGGATGCTGGGCTCCTGACCCACATCTCCATGCTTCCCCTCATGCTCTTGCTGACTCTCGACCCTTCACCCTTCCCTGCATCTCCTTGTCCCAAAGATGGAGCAGGGAGTGAGATGGCAGTCACCAGGTGAGATGGCGCTCCCGCTTTACCACGAGCCAAATCGATCCCCGTCTTCCCGCTGCCACAGCTGACCTGGTGCTAAGTGCACTGGAGGCAAGTGAGCATCGCAGCAACGGCTCTTTTTTCTCAAAAAACCAAAACCAAAAAACAGCATCCTCGTGGCTCTGGGGGCAGCAGGCCTTCAGCCCAACAGGAGGGAGGGTGTGTGTGAGAGGGTGACCTTTGACAGGGAGACTTTCTGCTTCAGTACCTTGTGAAGGAATCATTTCCTGAAAACAACAGTGGCCTGCCCAGCCTCCCGCTAATGCGATTAGGGGAGCTCATTTCCTGGCTTCCTTCCCCCCAGTTCCCCATCAGAGCCGGGCTCTCCGAAGGCCCTCTCCCTGGGAAGAACTGTGGCTGGGCTGGCCTTCACATCGGGAGGGATAAGGATGAAGAGGCTTAATAACGAAACAGCTGTGAACGGACTCAGCAAGATTCAGCAGTGGGTTTTCAAACCTTTTTTGAGCATTGACTGTACCTTCCTGCAAGCCAAGAGCAAGCCTTTAGCGCCCGATCTGATGGTGTCCCTTCCTTCCGAACCGGAGAACCCACTGCCGGGCTCGAAGGCTCTGAGGGGCCAGCGGTCACGCTCCGTGCACGGTGACTTCCAGGCCTGCGCCCTTCTCAGGTGTGACCAGAGAGACATCCTTCTGCTCACAGGACTTTGCCATGTATTCCATTAGAGAGCCATGGCTGCCTCCGACTGCCTGTGGCAGATGGCAAATCTCTCCCTGTGCTTGCGTTCTTGACAAAGGATGAAGACATCTCCTCTCCGAGGAATGAAAGGCTATCAGGAGGCCCTGCTCTCTCCAGGTGCCTGACCTGGGGGATGACGGGAGTGGAAGTGAGGCCCCTGTGTGGAAAGAGATGACTTTTCCAAGAAGGAGGCGACTAAGGGAGACTCGTTCTCCCTTTCGAGGAAAAGAAAGGAGGAGGTCAATGTGGCTTTCCACTCACAGGGAAGTAACTTATACAGGACGTGTATGCGATGCTGCGGATGTGATTAGGAAGTAGGAAGGCCACGTGCTCAAATGAATAACCCAGTGCGTGCAGAAAATGCTTGACCCATTCTGCATGGCTGTGGCATGAGGAGTGTGGGGTTGCCAAAAAAATAATTTGTAACAAAACCCCAAGAACTTCGTTAGGTGTCTTGTGAAGTCACCGCTCATTTAGATACTCGGATGTGGAAAGCTGAGTGACTGATTTCAAGGAAGACGTGATGGTCTATAAAAGAAGGGTGTACACATAAGTAGCTGTTTGACATTGAAATAAGGACTCAACGGCCAGGCCCGGAGCAGCCGGGTCTGGTGCGGCCAGGCCCGGAGCAGTGGCTGCCAGGCTGGGAGCGGCCAGGCACGGAGCAGCAGGGTCTGGTGCGGCCAGGCCTGGAGCAGCGGCTGCCAGGCTGGGAGCGGCCAGACCCAGAGCAGCCGGGTCTGGTGCGGCCAGGCCCGGAGCAGCGGCTGCCAGGCTGGGAGAGGCCAGGCCCGGAGCAGCCGGGTCTGGTGCGGCCAGGCCCGGAGCAGCGGCTGCCAGGCTGGGAGCGGCCAGGCCCGGAGCAGCCGGGTCTGATGCGGCCAGGCCCGGAGCAGCGGCTGCCAGGCTGGGAGCGGCCAGGCCCGGAGCAGCCGGGTCGGGTATGGCCAGGCCCGGAGCAGCAGCAGCCAGGTCCAGAGCAACTAGGTCGGGAGCGGCGGTGACCAGACCCGGAGCAGCTGGTTGTGGAACGAACCAGAGCAACAGAGGCCAGGCCCAGAACAGCCAGGCCCAGAACAGCTCGCTCTTCGCCTGCCCCTGCCCCACGTCTGCCTCTCAGACATGGCTGGAAACTTTTGTGGGAACTTGAGGGTCTGCTGAATCAAGTGATGAAGGCTTAGATCTGGATGTATTGAGTTAGTATAGGGCTGGGGTGTTGATCTGTGAGTGCCTTGGGTGGGGCCCGGTTGAGGCTGGTTGACCTATTTGGAAATGTCTTTTGTGTGAAATGTATCATTGGGCATGTGGTGGTATTATTGATATGAGAAAATGCTAAGTAACTGATTTACTATCGGGGAAAGGGAGGGAGGAAGAGACTGAACATAAACTGCACCTATGGATGAGGACAATGGGGGATGGGGAGGGGGCGGAGGGTGGGATGGGAACCTGGTGGAGGGGGGAAGAAATGAGGAACCTTTGTAACAATTTGAACAATAAAGATTGATTTAAAAAAAAAAAGAAAAAAAAGAAATAAGGACTCAAAAGAACTGTTGGCCCAGAAAGAAACTCACTAGAGACTGATTCATTTGCCTCTCAGCATAACATTATTGCTTGTCTCATTTTTGGTTCTTATATGTGTATTTCTAGTATCACATGATCTCACTCAGCTATGGGAAATAATGAACAACATAAAATGATGAACAGAAACAGACCCGGAGATAGGGAAACATTGATCAGAATGTCAAACCTCAGAGCGAAGGTAGGGGTGGGTGGAGATAGGGGGAGAGATCAACCAAAGGACTTGTATGCATGCATATAAGCTTAACCAGTAGTCACAGACAACCAGAGGGGGTGGAGGCATGTGTGGAGGGGTTTGGGATGGGAATGGGATGAGGACAAATATGTAATACCTTAATCAATAATAAATAAAGAAATTTAAAAAATAAAATAAAAGAAGGGGCGAGTCTCTCTGTTTTCATAGTAACCCCAATTCCCAGAAGCACACAGTGGGAACTCTGTAAGTAAAGACAGCATAAGCAATGGTTGTTCCCAACTCAGCAATCACGTACCTACTTTGTGTGTAGGCTTTGTATCAGGAGCTAAAGATATAACGGCACAGCCTCTGACTTTAAAACCTTGTGCTCATGGGGAAAGGAAGAAACAAGCATTTCATCTCAGTTGATGGCACTTCCGCTCCTCAGTTGCTCCAGTCCAAACCCTGAAGCCCCCTCTTTCTCTCAAAGGCCACATTCAGTCCATCAACACACCACGATGCCTCTGGCTTCACAAGATACCCAGAGTTCTACCACATGCAACACCTCGGCTGCCCCACTTGGGGCCAAGCCACCAGCACCTCCCCAAGCAGTCTTCCTGCTTCTGCCCTGCACCCTCCCCTGTCTCCTATTCTCAACATCACAGCCTGCTTGACTAGAGGGTCACTGTCTATCTTAGGAAGGATTCCATGCAGACATTCCAAAATACAGACACAGGTACTAGCCCGATTCAACTAATACTCATGTACTAGCTCAATACGGCGAGTGTTTGGAGGAAGCCTCCACAGAGACTGTATTCAGGTGGATAAACAGGGTTCCTATCTGGGAAGTATAGGAGAAAGTCCATTAGCATGCTCATTTCTTTTAACCTGACTGCCCATAGGACTGCCCGATCTCCCCGGATCTGAGTGCAGTGCCGGCACGCTGCTTCTCACGGGCAGGGCTATGGTGGTGCCAGGTGACAAACTGGGTCCTCTCAGTCATGACCCCATTCCCCATGTCCTTCTTTTAATTAAAAATGGTTGGCAAATTTCATCGTCAGTTACTGCAGTTTTTGGCATGATAAATGGAAGTGGGACTAGCCTGAGCAGACTGTTGAAAATGAATACAAGGTTGTCAGGGTGCTATGGTTTCAATGTAAGAAATAGGTATGAACTGATCACGTGCCTGAGTGTGGGGAGAGAAGGATGAAGAATCAGTAAAGAAACCAGACGGGCCTAGCTAGTCATGACATGAGAAAAATATTGCCACTATCAAACCTTTTGAAATGACCAGCAGTAAGCAAATATTGAGTAAGTCCACTCTTGGTTAGAGTTGAGAATATAAACATAAAGCCAGGTAATACCTCTAATAAAACATTTGAAAGTCAGTTACCCACAGGACCGATTTTTTTGAAAGAAACTCAAAGAACTATGATTTCATGCTAAACTTACAAGACAAGTACTGTCAAAATTTGATGTAGGGCTCAGGCCAGTGTGGGTCAGTTGATTGGAGCATTGTCTCATACACCAAAAGGCAGTGGTTCAATTCTCCATCAAGGCACCTAGGTTTCAGGTTTGATCCCCAATAGGGACACTTACAGGAGGCAACCTATCTGTTGTCTTTCTCTCTCTCTCTCTCTCTCTCTCTCTCTCTCTCTTCTTTCTCTCTCAAATCAATTTTAAAAGTGCTTTAACATTTTTGATTTAGGGCCTTTCTATTTTCTAAGATACAGAGTAAATCCCTCAATAGTGACTGATATAACTGCATGACTCTTACATCAATACCCTGAGAGTCTATATATGTGGGAGAAATAAAATAGGTGGATTTTTTTTTTGTGAAAATACATGCCACCTGAAAGCGCTCCATGTGCTTGCTGCGCAGGGAGGGGAGTGTCCACCAACTGCTCCAGGAAACAAGAATTGCTGCCAATGCCAGGGTTACCCATCTCACCTAAGTAGTTATCGTCCTCCAGTTTTCCTGAATTACTCTTCTGCTGCACGTAGATGCTGGTCGCACCCGCTGGAATTCGGACCACCAGGTTATAACCTGCAAAGAATTGGGCAGAAGTTCAGTATTCCATTTCTCTAAGCCTGGAATAAAATGTGAGCAACAAAGGAATACACTATAACTCTCATTTATCCCGTGCCTTTTAGCCAAGGGGGTAACATGCCTTTACAAGACTGATTTTACGCTTGACACTATTACTTTTTACATATTACACACATTGAGCAATCTTTAAACAGTGGCCACTTGCCTTCTCATGGGAGTTAGGAACCAAGTCTTACCATAATGCACTGCTTTACATGTTCCTTCCACTGTTTTGCATGAAGAATTATCGCCACCGCACACCCCGCACTTATCTCTCCGGGCTTTTGAGTTTAAAACATGATCGCATCCGGCTTGCTTTTAAAAAGAAAACATTTGAAATAAATGGTAATTATTACAAAGATGATGAAACAACGTGTATTGCGTTTCTTTGCATGCTGGACATTCAAAATGAAGTCAAACTTGCTATGGAAAATGTGGTCCAGGCCCGCAGCCTGGGGCACCCCGAGCTTGTGAGATGCGCAGATCCTCGAGCACCCTCAGATCTGCCGACTCGGGGAGATTTCCTGGCGTGCTCACAAGCTCCTGAGGTGTCGCATCTACAGATTCGAGTTTGAGGAGCACTAGCCCACAAATAAATTGAGTAAATGGAAAACCCACTGGGACTGGGAAAAGGAGCGGTGAGGGCGGCATCCAATGAAAGAGCTCACGTCCTATCCTAAGGAGGAAGCCCTGCTCACTGCAGCCACCGCCAGGCCACGCAGAAACAGGCACCCAATGCCGACACTTCCCAGTTGTCCAAGACCAGCTGGAAAATGCACTTGAAGTGAAACCGCCTGTTTAACTATTGTCAATGCGCACAGGCCCGCAATGGCTGCAGACCCCAGTTGCAGGCCTGAGGCTCCCAAAGGCCTCCTGGATGTCCTTAGGTCTCAATGCAAAGCGGCAGTGCAGCCTAAGGTCTGAGGACACCAGCGCGACCCCGAGACCCGGGCGGGGGGGGGGGGAGGGCACCACTCACATTCCTGCCCATCTGGTTCCTTTGGAGGAACCAGTTTTCAGGGAGGAACTCCAGCGCTGCTGCAAAATACAATCACAAGGAGGACCCACACTGTCAGCGGTGAGCAGGGCGTGGGTGGCACCCTCAGGGGGTCTGGCAGTCGGACCCTCCGATTAGGAATCCAATCTGCCATGGACCAAGAGCAAGGAGCCCACAGCATTTCCTAGCCTTGCTGTGCTAGGGACGCTCTGTGCCGGGTGAGCACAGTGAGATGGGATCAGCCCCTGAGAAACCACTGCTCTGATGCTTTACCATCGGCCAGAGGTGTCTCATTTCCCTTCAAAGGGTAAATGACAGTGTGCCTCAGGCGGCAGCTATCCTGCTTACAGTCAGAAAGACAATCTGAGTGAGGCCAGCCCTTCCTCACAAGACCGTCCTGGCGCAGAGCTAGTCAATCTGAAATTGCTGCCAGGGAGCACTTGGGTTTCACCGCAGCCCTGAGGTTACAGTGAAGGCGTGTGCGGGGAAACTTGCAGTAGCTTCACAGGGAGGCTCTGTGCAGGCCCCGGAGGCTGAGAATATCAAGAAAATCCCAAGGCAGCAGGTCCAAGGGGTGTTGATGCTGCTCTGGGGGACCCTGCTTGGAGAACCACTGCCCGCAGACAGTGCACAGGTATTAGCGGCTGCTACTCTGTCAAAACCGCAGCCCACAGCCTGGCAGCAAAACAGCGCGGAGTGGAAACACCAGAGGGGACTTACCCGGCAGAGGCCTTGGACACAGATATCGCTGGTGTCCTGCCCACACGGAGTGCCGTCCACCACTCGGTCTTTGAGCTGGTAGTAGGCGGTGCTTGTTGCCACCCTGCAGAACAGCTTGCACCGGTCCTTCAGCAGAACTAGAGGAGACAGCCGTGAATGCAGTGCGCCTCGGGATGGGACCGCCCTGGGCCCCGGACCGCTCTGAACCCCGGACCGCGCACTCACTTCCGCTGTACTTGGGCACCCAGCGCACGTTCGGGTGGATCCCGTTGATGTTGAAGTGCTTCCCGTCAAACTGAGCGCACTGGTCCTCTCTGAAGTCGCGCTTCTGCTTGGGACACGGCTCAGCGTTGCAGGACCTAAACTTCATCCTGCGCCCGGTACAGTACTTTCCACCATTCTTTGGCCTGAGCAAAGGGAAAGAAAAATAAGGGATTTCTCTCACCTGTGGCTTCCGGTCTTCTAGGGAAGGGCATTTGAAGTGGCCGGTGACAGGGAATGGGGCCACGGCTCAGAAATCTGCCTTTGCATTCTGCCTTCAACACCATTAACAGTATAACCTTGGGCAAGTCACTTAGCCTCGAGCCTCAGTCTGCTCATCTGTAAAATGGGAAGGTGCTATTTGATGGGTAAAGTAAGAGAGTGTAGAACTTAAAGTATGAAATTCGAAGCCTGGAATCGATTAGCCCATTTTCTCACCTGTTTCTCCCAGTCAGTCAGTCAGTCCTTAGATTTCAAAAAGATAGAAGGTGAAAGGTATAGGTGAGGGGTTAGAATGTGGCCTCTGTGCCTCTCCTACTGACATTCTCCGGAAAACCATCCTAAACCTTTGCATCCCACCCCCATTCATGCCCTCCATCCTCTCTTCCCACGAATGACCACTGTATTTGTTTGTTTTATAAATAAGATGGAACAAAGGGAGTGAATGTGTCTTTATTTCCACCAACTTAATTGCAGAAGCAGGAGAGCCCACTGGCTTCATTGGATGGACATACAAGAGTATGGAGTCTGGCTCACAAAGCATCGCAGTGCAGATTTAATCTTTGCATGCAACTCGTGCATGTACTTTCCAGATGTGGCCGGAGAGTAAATTATACCACACGTCTCCCAGCAGTCAGCAGCCTGCCAAGTTCATCATGGAAACGGGAAGATCAGAGTCCCAGGCGGTCTGGCTCACCCACCCAGGGCTGGTATCACTCAGATTTCTCTGCCACCCGAGGACGTCTCTTTACCCTTCCTGCCTCTCTTCTGCGGCATGAAGCTTTCAGAGTGATCTGCACCCTAAGAAGTGTTTTCTGGTTTGTTTTGGTAAGCCAGGCCCTGGAGGAATGGGAGATGTGTCCAAGCCCAGAGAGGCACCCAGAGGAGCAGGTGAGAGTTGCTCTGGGCTCCATCCTCGCCAAGTGACCGCTCTTAGTCTCCCCACACTTCAGTGCTCTCCTCCTTTAACGTCTGCGCACAGTGGACGCCTGGGAGGGTAACTCCTGTGAGGTGCACTTGAGCACTCCCAACCTAACCAATCCAGGTCAGCGGCTTGCGTGTTTGAGAGCCAAATCCGAGTGACAACGTGGCTTGCATCCTGAGGCAGGATGCAGTGCTCCTGCAGCGTGCCTGGGCCTCAGGCAGGGCCACCTGGCCCGGACACAGTCCTTGTGGTCCCTTGATCAAAGATGGTGGAGGAAGGTAAGAAGATAAGAGCATGGGCTTTGCAATTACAGCTGAGGACTTCTGTGTAAGTGCCCTGGCCTCTCTGAGCTCTGTCCTGCACAGGTAAAGCTGGTTATGAATAGTTGTCATGAAGAAGACTGCGTCTAGATATGTGAAATGACACATAATCCAGCGATATCTGTGTGATGGTTTTCCCATCAAACACAATTAAATCCACAAGTTCTTAATCTGTACTGTGCATTTGATGGGCCAAAATGCAGGCATGCTTTGCCCAAGAGAAGGCACAGGTGCTTTAATACCATGCAAGAGGAGGTTGAGAGAAGTTAATTATTTTGCCCAAGGTCACACGTAGCTGTGCAGGTGAAACCTGTTTTAAATGTGCTACAAGGAACAGCCCCTTCAGCTTTCCCTCAAATGGAAATGAACTTTGTGAATCCTTTTAAATGCCCCAACTAAATCTGGTGGATGGATCCTTTATTTGTTGCCTGAAAATAATTCACATCTCTTTCTCTTTGAAAATAATTTTAAAAGTTGATTTCTTTTGGGGGGGGGGGGGGAAGGAAGGGAGGTTCTGTTACCTAATGAGTCTTAGCTGACTCTTACAATGGCCAAATGCAGCCGTTCTTTGGGCCGCAAAGAGTTAATACTTGTAGGTGGCTTCCCTGCAGATGGTGACACCTCCCACCTTTGCTTGCTGTGACCACCATCAAATGGCAAATCACATTTAGTGATTTATTTTTATAAATGACATTTAAAAAATGTATCTATTGATTTCAGAAAGGAAGGGAGAGGGAGGAAGAGGTAGAAACTTCATTGATCGGCTGCCCCCTGCACACCCCACACTGGGGCTAGAGCCTGAAACCCAGGTATGTGCCCTGACGGGGAATCAAACCATGATCTGGTGCATAGGTCAGTGCTCAACCATTGAGACATGCTGGCCCGGCTATAAATGACATTTTTATAAACAACTCATAGGAAACACTCTATGTGAGAGGCCATGTTTCTGAAGTTACAAAGTTGGACCCTTCAAACAGAGGGTGTGAATCCCAGCCCTGACTCTTACTGAGAGAGCAATCTTAGGCAAGGCGCCTCATTCTCTAAGCCTGCTCCCTGCTGTAACAGGGAGATGATGCTAATGTCTGCTTCATCAGCAGAGGGAGAGTTACCTGGGTGAATCCATTCAAAGCTCTTGAGCGAGGCCCGCCACACAATAAATGCGGAGCTATTACAAGGGTCTACAAATGACACAGCAAATGGGGCAAAATCTGGCCTACTACCTGTTTTTTACATAGCCAGCAAGAAAATAATGTTGTTGTAGTTTGTTTATTTTTACATTTTAGAATAGTTAAATTTTTTTAATTTAAATTGGAGATATATAAAAAGTAGGTGAAATTCAAATGTCAGTGTTTATAAATAAAGTTTTATTGGACCATAGCCACTAAGATCCTCAAAGTCTAAAATACTTATGAAATGTTTTACAGAAAAAGTATTCGTCTATGCAGTATTTCCCAAAGTGTGGTACTCGTACCCCCAGGGGTACAGGAAGAGTTTGGTGGGGATATGCACTGCACCCTGCTTAGCTGTGCCTAATTCTACATTCTCATGAGTATGAGGAGTACTCAGCGTTATGAAAATTATAGAAGGGGTACACATATGTCAAAAGTTTGGGAAACACTGGTCTATGAAAAGAGTGTGCTGGCCCCAAGCTATTCTTTTGAGTGTATAGGGACACACTGAGGTGGGCAGTGGCATTCTGGTGTTTGAGACTCTGTGAGAAATGGGCTCAGAAATGTTAAGTGTTCTGTCAAGGTCACAGAATTAAGTGAGATGTGCTGGCTGAGACCAACCCCATGTCCCTGGTCTTTCAATCATCATCCGGCCTCACTGCTAGACCTTCTCTCTTGAAATAGGCCTCTTTTCATATCAAAACTCATCCTCTGATCTAATTTGCTTTTTATAATAAAGGCAAATGGTATTTGATTAATAAGCATAAATTTGCCCTTTTGAAATATATGGCTTACCTTATATCCCAGCCAATGCCATCCTGGCCTGCTTTGCATTCTATTGTATAATGGGGAGGGCTTTAGCCAACTTAACTTACCTTTCAGCATGGAAAATTTCATTTTACACTTTAGTAATTTAGCTGGGTAGGAGTACTTTTTCCATGTAGGAAAATACTGAAAATTATAGGAAATGCAACTTGAATATTAACCACATTTTCCAACCATTAAGATCCTTTAAAAATATTGCATGTCAAATAGGGATGAAAAGGACTTAAGGAAATTGTTATATTAATTGCTATGAAAGTAACTATATTCAGCACAGCCATGCTGAATCTTCCCTTCCAGCACATATTATACAACCATGCTTATTCATACATACAAAGGAAATTTGCAATGCTGCATGGCCAAAGATGAAGGCATTTGCCAAGGACCATCACAGGTGCATTCTACCATCAAGGGAAGTCAACCTTTAGCTTGAGAATGGCTTTAAACAGAAATTATGACTTCTATGTTTACTTACAAAGATTTAGGGCAGGCAGATTAGGGTCAGCACAAAGCAGAAATTTCTAATAATACAACAGCAGCCCCCGAAAGTACTGTATTTCCTAAGTTTGGTGGGGGTTTTTAATAAAAAGTTAAATGATCAACTTCAGAGGATGCTGAAAAGCTATTCAGAGATTAGACTGGACGAGCCAGGAAGCAGTACTAGTCATCACTGAGAATCCTGCCAAGTGGGGCAGTCTCTGGGACTGGGTACTAACTCATTAGCCCATGGCCGTCACACAGTAGCTTATTTTGGACATTTTTAAATAAATTCATCCAACTTAGTGTCCTAAAGAGCTTTGCAGCAGTTTTTTTTTGTTTGTTTTGTTTTTTTTAAGCCAAATGAGAGATTGGTTTTCTTAGACCAAATAGACATATTTGTCTACTCTCTTATAAGATCTCATCAGCAGTTGCTATGGTAAAAGCCTAAATAAGACATATCCAGTTCACAAACTTGTCTTTTCTTAAATCAATGAATTTATTATTAAATTTAACCTACCTTCGAACTTAAAAGCAAAACAGAAGCACTAGAAGAGGGAAATATTTTGCCTTTCCTAAAGAACTGGTTTGATTTTTTATTTTGATGGATGTTAAAAATTCTATAAATCGTTTCTTCCAGTAACTAAGAAGATCGGGGCGAAACTGAGAGCCCAAAATAACAAGTGTGGGCCCACTGGTCTGACTATGCCTCTTCTGGTTCCATTGCTGGTCTTGTTCTGAGACTCTAAGCTAGAATCTGCTGGTTCTGGTTTAAATTTTTGCCCTATTATGTATTTCTCATGGATTGGGAAAGCTCAAGATCCTTTTCTGCGGGGACCTTCCCACAGGCCCAGGCCATTTCTGCAGGGATTCATCTCTCTCCCCCTTCCACAGCACTTCTAGAACTGCCCTGATGCTTTTAAAAAAAGAAAAAAGATTTCATTCGAATATAATATTCTTGAGTCAAAATTTCAAAGGTGCCTACTATGTGCAATACCCATATCCTCGTGATAATATAGCTTACTATGATAATAATTTGGCTCACTGTAACCACCCGCTAGTTTCTAGTTTTAAAAAATTCCTATTTGCTGTTATCTTGAAATGTTTCATTTAAAAATTTTAAACAGTGCAAATAGCTATAGATTTGATTTTAAAAAGCAAGTTGTAGATCACTATATATACTAGTGCGATCTTTATTTTGTATAATGCTTATTTCATACAATACATAAAATTGTTTTTGGCAGTTATTTCTTGTGGGGATATCTGGTGGTTAGAAATAACAATGATAGGAATTTTTATGTCATAAACTTTTGTATTTACATTTTTTAAAGCATGTACTATTTTATACCATTATTTTTTAAAAATACTAAATATGGGAAAATCTAATGTTTATTAGCTCATATACATATCTATAGTGTTAGTTTTATAAACCAGAGTCTATATCGCATAGCTCTATAGTTGTCTTCTATAGAGACTACTAATATTTGGCGTGAACTCAATGTTGGGCTGTGAACAAAAATATATTAAAATAAATTGATCATCATCTGTGACTTGTGCTACAGAGTATTTATAGGGCTTACAACAGTGACCTATAGCTATGTAGTTTTCTGGTTCACACAACTCAGATTTTTCTGGTAAAAAATCTGGAAGCTTTGTCAATAGCAGGCCCCTTTCCTACCAATCAGCATTTGGTCTCCATTGCTCTGCAATGCAACCCTGTTTTACTGAACCAGCCCACACTGCTAAGTTACCTGCCCACTTCTCTCTGCAACCCACCTGCGCTCCTGCATGCAGGCTGTTACAACTACCGTATTTTCCGGCCTATAAGATGACTTTTGAAACGAAAAAAAGTCAACCGAAAATCGGGGACAAAGGACCAAAATTGCACGAAAATTACCTGCAGATCTTGACGGCAAAGTAAGTCTTTTCTTTGAAGTGGGGGGGGGGAGGGGGGTAGTCTTATACAGTGAGTATAGGCCTAAACCTATGTTTTAACAGTAAAATTAGGGAGTCGCCTTATACGCCAGAAAATACAGGTTAATGAGTACAGCTGGGCGCATCATTTTACATTATCCAAAAGCAGCTGGCTCTTAAAAAATGGTTGTTGTTTTATACATCTAGAAACTATGCAGAATCTGTGAAGACTTCTTGGTGTCCCCACCCATATACAGGTTCAGTGGCAATAATATCCTGTATTATTTTCTATTCCTTTAAATTGGATACACCTCCTAGCCATGCAAAATTGGGTGTCATTCCTCACAACGAAGAGAGCAATTTTTCAAACCTGCAGCTAACAGCCTCCCAGCAAACACAGGACAGCACATGCCAGGACGGGTGCTGAGAAGAACCCCACTGACTTTATTTGACCATGCAAGCCCTAACAAGGCCAGGCTGGTCACACGACGGTTACACTCCCACTCCGTAAACGCTCAGGTTGTCTCACCTGTGACACCACCAGATTGATTCAAAAAGTAATCCCTGACTTGGGGTTCCAGATCCATTGGATCTGCTGATGCTGCCTTGGGGGTCTGGGCACCCTTCCCAGCATTCCAGACGCTCCCTGGAAAGGATGCATTTCTCTATAATCTGGGTGCAAATGGCCAGTTTATCTGTTTCCACAGAAAAAAAAAGATCTGTTTACTTTAGTGGCGTGCACGCTCTGGGGGACAGTGAGCGATGCCCGTAAGTTGTTCAACAGGCCAAGCAACACACACGCATCTACTGTTGGGGAGGGAAAACTTTTAATAATAAAGGAGCATTGGAGGAAATAATAAACATTCGTTTGGCAGCGCTAGAAGTCCACCCACTCTCTTAATTTGGAAAGAGCTCTTCTCTTCTTCTGCCCCCAGCTGAAGGATCCCCCTGAGACGTTCGCTCCCGCTGTCCCGGCAGGAACAGGGGGAAGTCAGGGGACTTACTCTGGTCGGTCGCACTCCCGGACGGCGATGCGGATGCCCCCTCCACATGTTCGTGAGCAGGTTCCAAACGGAGTCCAACTTCCCCAGGATCCATCAATCACGGGGGCCTCCATTTCTTTGGGAACACAAAATCCAAACTTGCAGTGCTGTATTCAATAAGGGAACAATGAGGGAGAGCTCGGTGCTGAGACATTGCAGGACCCTCTGTCCTTCCAACACACCCTGTTCTCACTGCCTGCCAGGTGCTGGTGGGAAGGGCTGCAATGCCATCGGCAGTGTGAGGCACGGACCCTGTAGGGATCCTAACCTCCTACTGACTGATGTTAGGCTGAGTCTTCCTTGACAACTCGCTTCAATAAAACCGGCCGACCAGGGGTCTGCTCCAGGCTGGCCAGGTGGCCAGCGTCAGGGGGCTCAGTGAGTCGCAGGGGAGAAGAAGGGGTAGAAATGGGCAGCCTGGCTGGAGACAGATCCAAAGGGAGTCCTGGGTTTGCGGAGCAAATCTCCAGTAACGAGGCCCAGCGATGTTACGAGCCTGTTGAAATACAAAGCTTTACTGCTTCCCATGGATTTGAAAACCCGCTTTTTAATGAAACAGGAAAGAAAAAAAAGCTAGTTCCAGGATTCCTATAGAGTCACTCCACCAAGGCACAAGGACACAGGAAAGCAAATGGACACATTATAGAGGGCCCTGAACTTTACTGCCTTTTCGTTACTAATGGTTTCACGTTCTCCAGCCCCGAGCTGGAAGGAGGCCAGGGTGTTTACAACTGAAAACACAAAGTCCTCAGCAGGACAGGGAGGCCAAGAAGGCCATCTCAGGCCTCTGCCATGGCTGGCGTGAGGCCTGACACAAAGCCCAGGTCACTGCGCAGGGGACAAAGGGAGAGCGGCAGCCCGGGCTGCAGGAGGATGATGCCCACAGCTCACTCAGGTCTCCATGCAGAGAAAGGGTGACTTATCCACGAGGAGGGCACAGGCCTGGAGCCATGAATGCCGGGGGCTAGTGGGGGGGGGGGGGGCTGCATATTCGGGGAAAGTGGGCAAAAAAAGAGGCAGTGGAAGGTCCCAGTCTAAATGGCGGTCCCAGGAAAGACTTGGTGAACGAGTATTTAAAAGTGTAATTAAACTGTCTACTCTGCTGCATCTTCTCCCTCATAAGTCACGTCTCCGAGTATCTGAGGACACGTCCCTCTCCCTGGGCTGTTTGGCTGAGACCTAAAAGGTTCTGCATCCAAAGAATCCTGGGCAACTCGGTACCCAAGACCTGTGGGCAGAGGCAGAGGTGCCCAGCACACCCCTGCAGTCACCTCCCCTGTGTCTCCACCCTGGTCCTGAGCATCCCGGGAGCACACGCACTAGAGATAAACGAGAGCGGCCTCTGTCTAGGCAGCGGTGGCCAACGGGCGGCCCGAGGACCACTGGTGGCCCGTGAGGTCGAAAGGTTGGCAACCGCTGAGCTAGAGTGCCACTCCCCACGGAGAATGCAACTTGAGTCACACACTTAAGCAAATCTCACAGTTCCAGGAAGTCACATTTAAACAAAAGGAAAATGAAAATTAATTTTAATGTCTCTTATTTAGCTCAACATATCTGAAACATTACTGTTTCTATATGTATAATCAACACAAAATGATGAGTGACTTTTTAAATCCTTTTGTCCACCTAGGTCTCAACACCTGGTGTGTCTTTTCACGTAATCACATCTCAGTTCAGACTGACATTTCACGTGCTCACCAGCCACGCGTGGCTAGTGGCTGCCCCTCGGGACAGTGCAGGGACAGGTGTAGCAGGCACAAGTTTAGTTTCCACAAACAGTGCTCTGCCTCCGGAGAGTCACTGAATTCTGCTTCCACAGATGAAAAATGACCAAAAATGTTTTGGGGTGTCACAGGAGAAAGTGCTTCTAAGCACCTACTACACACCTGGGCACTTAGGGACCAGACATAAATAGAGTTAGCAAAAATAATGGCAAGCATGTGCACTTAATATGTGTCAGGCCCCGTTCTAAGCATTATTAACTTACCTAACTTACATATTAACTTACTTAACTCCCACAGCACACTGTGAAGTAGTACTGTTAGTCACCCTATTTCTAAAGAAAAGGAAGTGAAGGCACGAAGGGGTGGAAGCCAGACCTCAGTAAGAGGCAGAGCCTAACCATTAGACCATCTGACTCAAAAGTGCAACCCTTAGCTGTGACACATGCCACCTGTCTCTCCATTGTGAGCAAATGGGGCCATTCTGACATCTAATAAAGACTGAAATTTAAAATGAAAGCAAATTAATGAAATGGTTTGGTAAGTCTAAGTTGTCTACTTGATATCCATTCTCCCTTTCATCCTTGGTACAGACTCGATATACCCCCCGATTCCTGAAAAGATAAGAATGGTCAAGGAGATGTTAGCAGGATTCGTTGGGTGAGATTCTGGGAAGGTTCTTTTCCCCTTTGTTCCTTGCCCTTTGGTTTCATTCTGCCTGGAACTCAGATTTGAGGGCTGGAGCTGCAGCAGCTATTTTGTGACTTTGAGGATGAAGACAATTTGCATAGGACAGTGGAGTGGAAAGTAATTAGGAGCCCGGGTGTCTGATGATTTTGTGGAGCTGCCACAACAGCACCATAACCTGTTTCAGTGTGGAGTAGTTTTTGTATGTGTCAGAAAAAAAAAAAAATGATGCAGTTTGCTTACATTACGATAATTGGGTCTGACCTTAACAAAATTTCTAATCCTATCTAATAAAAGAATAATATGCAGATTGACCATCACTCCAACACACAGGATGGCTGCCCCCATGTGATCAAAGATCCTGCCCCCATGTGGACACAAGATGGCCAGCAACCAGGCCTGCAAGGGAGGGCAGTTGGGGGCTATCAACTCTGCAGGGGAGGGCAAGTTAGGGGTGACCAGGCCAGCCAGCAGAGGAGGGCAGTTAGGGGCAAACAGGCTGGCAGGGGAGCAGTTAGACATCAATCAGGCTGCCATGGGAGTGGTTAGGGGGTGATCAGGCTGGCAGGCAGAAGGGGTTAGGGGCAATCAGGAAGGCAGGCAGGCAAGCAGTTGGGAGCCAGCAGTCCTGGACTGTGAAAGAGTTGTCTGACTGCCCAGTGGGATCGGGCCTAAATGGGCAGTCAGACATTCCTTGAGGGATCCCAGATTGGAGAAGGTGTAGGCTGAGCTGAAGACCCCCCCGCCCCTCCCAATCACGAATTTCACGCACCAGGCCTCTGGTTAATATATAATTGAGGTCATAGCTATTGCCCAAATTTAGCCTTCGAGTCTTGGTGCTAGATACAGTTTATAAATTCTACAAAGTAAGAAAAAAGTTCCTATATTTCATGGAGTTTAATAATAAGAAATTGCCTGGATATACGGTTTTTCTTCTCTTGACACTGTCTTCAGTCCGTTGCTCTCTCTATTCTATAGACGCTACTTCCATAGAAGAACAAACAATAAGCTTCAGAGCAAAATGAGGACACAGGTGCTGCTTTGCCAGTGTTACCACTCAGCACTGCATGCAAATGCCCTAACATGGCCCCTTTAGAAAAGGAAGCTTCTCATTGAAAACTGGTCTACAAATGAAATATGTCTTAGTGATATGATCACAGACAGGTATCGGAAGGAGAGAAAGAGCCTCAGAAGAACAGGGGACTGCCTCAGGTGACAGAGGCTGGAAATCATGGCTGTTTGGCAAATATATACCAAGACAGTCTATTTTTCCAGGCAAAGCTGACAAATAATAATTACATGTTGGAATAGCCCTTACATAACAAATCATTGAGTGGCTAGTAGAACCCCAGCCAAAATATAGTCAGCCTTTCCTAAAAGTGTCCAGAACCATTTAAATAATATTCTATCTGAATAATCTCCAAGTTGCTAAAAAAAAAAAAAAAAAAAGGTTGGAAAAGGGACTTGGGAAGCTTAAAACAAAGTTTCAAATCTGAGACTCACAAACAGTGTTTAAATAAAAATGTTAATGGACTTAACAAGAGCATGAAGAAGTAAAGAGACAGAGACGTTCATCAAAATAACATTTGTCAGCGGCCCCGGAGAGCGCCCTGCAGAGAGAGCAGGGCGGGAAGAAGAAAAAGGAAAAAAAATGAACCCTCAGCCAAGGGAGGCAGAATTTGCTGGAGGAAAGTGTATGGTTTTACTGCCAATCCTATAAAAACAAAATGAAGAACACACAGAATTTCTAGGCCAATATCTCTGGCATTTGTAAAATGCATAAATACTCTTAGGGGAATAAACACACATATGCCCAGTTCTCTCGTAAAAGCTTCTAGACTCGGACACTTTCCCACTTTCCTAAAACACAACCAGAAGGTCCCCATCATTTTCTCGCAGTGTTGCTGCTCGGAACGTGTGCTGGATCTGCCCTTGGAATGCCCTGAAGTCCCTCACTCTTTGCTGAACACGAGCATACATCGAAAAAGCCTCCCGAAGGATCTCCCACATTTCCCATCCCTCAGGCACCAGATTACCCTGCAACCCTTAGCACCTGCATCTGCTACAAAAACAGAAGCTTGGAAAAAGACACAACAGACGTCCTCCAAAGTTCTGTGTTCCGGGATTGAGTGGGTACCATGTCACTACATGGCGCTTGGCAGCCTATTCATGACAACTTACTAGATATACTTCACTGAGAATCCTTCTTTGTTAGAGCTTCTTAAAGCAATAGCATGTGTCAGAAATAGACATATGGGTGGGTACATCAGATGGACTAAGAACCACAACACAATGCTAGTGATTTTCCTGAGATTAAACAGCTTCAATTTACGTAATGTAGTTGACTGGCTCTAAACCAAGCCAACTTACCAAAGTCATCAACAGGTTATGATGTCTACTGGCATCTCCCACCAACTGGTCCCCGCTGTCGAGGCCAATGTGTTTAGGACTCTGAGGCCTCTTCATTTCGTAATGATGAGTGAATTCCTCATGGATGCCATAAAAACCCAGAACCATATTCCCACTCAAAGCTATGACCCTCTGGCCATCAACACGTTGAGTTAAATGTCCCACAAAAAGTGAAAGATTCGCTTTGACCAAGGAGACATATTTCTTTTTAAGCGAATGAAAGGTACAAAGGTCTCTGTGTCTATGTCTGCATGTAGTTTTGGCGAGGATGTCATTGGGGAAAGGTGTATACTTAATTCCTGAAGTCCTAGCCATTAAGAAGTGATAAGTTGAACTAATTTAGTCATCAAGACAAGTAAAAAATCATTCTCATTGTACTTTTGTATTGAACTTGATGTTTTTCAAAGAATATTCATGCCCTCTGCTGGGAACCAAAACCTAGCATTGTCACTGGAGATAAAATGTAAAAAGAGCTATGCGACCTTGATGGCTCTGAATGGTCAGAGGCATTAACTCTTTGTATAGTTGAGATAGTGGTGCTTGAGGCAACTTTAATCTGTTAATCATATGTAAATATAAATTGATTTTCTGCTGTTGGAACTTCCTCCTTAAGAGATATCTTTGTTTCAGAATCTCAATAAAAGGAATGGTAAAAGGCCAGAGAGTGGTTACTCTTCCCACTAGAGGTAGACTTCCCGCCTGGCCCCCATTTTCCCAAATTAACTCTTTTCCAGTCTCTCTCTTTATTTTAGTGTGTGGCCTTCTCCAGAAACCGGACCCTGAGTGGGCCCTGAACCACGCGGGTCGTGTTAAGGGATCCCACACCCTCTAGCTCATTACCACCTGAGAGATGAGAGAAGAAACCACTAGTCCTCCTGAATGACCAATAACTCAAGCTCAGTTACGACCCCTTCAGACCAAACAGAGGTGGGGGTTCCAGAGGGCAGGGACTCAAGTACCAGGGACTCTGCCCTGAATGAACTGGGAGATTTTGGGCAAGCCGCTTCCTTTTCTGTTCCCTATCTATGAGGTTGGAGAAAAGAGAATCCCATTCTGTCATCTCTTTAGGACCCCTTCCATGGATACTGGTGTTATTGGTTCTATAAGGAAAAGTGGAGGAAAGAATGTGAGATGAGAATAAAATATTAAAAGTGAGCAAAGTAGACAGTGGGAAGAATAGAGAAGACAGGAAACATATATGTAAGAAAGACAAAGGACTCCAAATATAACCCAGGAGTTGCACTAATGCTGAGTGAAATCCATTTTATTTATTTATTTTTTAATATATTTTATTGATTTTTTTACAGAAAGGAATGGAGAGGGATAGAGAGCTAGAAACATTGATGAGAGAGAAACATCTACGGGGGATGTGCCTGCAACCAATGTACATGCCCTTGACCAGATTCGAACCTGGGACCTTTCAGTCCACAGACCGACACTCTATCCACTGAGCCAAACCGGTTTCGGCTGAAATCCATTTTCCATATGGATTAAAAAAAATCAGGGTTTATATGGATTAGAAAACAAAATTTTGTTGATGATATCACTACTATAGTTCCTCTTTTTTGAGATGGGTACCAGGTGAAACAGGTTGCATTAATCCTGCTCCTAGGTGCATGGGATGCTGTATCACCGGGCTATATAAGCAGCAGTTTTGTGTGGTTACTAATAAGCGGGAACCAGCTGAGAATTTGCACTTGGATACATCCCAGGTGACATAATCACTTATTAAAGGGACAACGGTTGGGAAAAGCCTGGCATCCCAGTAGTGAACTCACTAAGATTACTGTATTTCTGCATTTCTTTGGTTTTAAGATGCTTCAGCATAGATGAATAGAATTCCATTGCCACCTCCAAAAGAGACAGAAAGAAGAAAAAGAAAGATGACCTCACAGGAAACGTACCTATACATTAAAAAGCACATGGGGTTTCAGAAATGTTAAAATGAGAAAAAGTATGTCTTAAAATGGAGGCAATAGTGATAGCCATGTCCATTGGATCAGTATTAAACAACAATTTTAAATTTCATCATTTTCAATAGTAAAACGGAACCTCTCGCCTAAAAAAAAAAAAATCTGCAGCTAAAGCATGCTGCACTAACAGCAAGCAGCATTGACTGGCCCTACAGCCCAACCTGGGCCCCTTCCTGCCCCAAGACAGAGGGCAGGGCTGGGGCATTACTTGCCTTTCCAGGCTCACATTCAGTGCCATCGGCCCAGGGCGTGTGCTGAGTCTGGCAGCCTTTGCTCTTTGCATCCGCTCCATCCACATTACTGCACCAGAGTCGTCGGCACTGCACCTGCTTATTCCAGCAACAAACAATCAGAGACAACATGATTTGATGATGGCAAACAAGGCCCAAATTACTTTCATTTCACATTTTGCCAATGACACAGTATAGGTTGAAAAGGGGGGTTATTTCTTGGCATGAAAAGTGATCAAATATTCTGAGGGACACAGAGGCTAGCTCCTGAGACACACGTCTATGGCTGGCAGGATGTGAGATGCTGTGCAAAAGGGGCTTCTGTGCATCCAGTGAGCCTGGAGATCCATTGGATGTGTGTTGAGATTAGCTGTGATTTCAGTTTAGGTTTGGCCTCACCACAAAACTAATGCTTTCTCGCAGTAGGCTACATAATTCCAGTCACCAGATGACTCCTTTCTAGGGAGTCAAGAATTATCAGAGGGAAAAAGGGACAAACTCTTGTGAATACTTCAGACTTACAAAAAGTGCAAACAGCCACATAATGCACAACCATGGACCCACCACCCAACTACAGAAAGAAAACCCCACAGGCCCAGCTGATACATCCCTCCTCAGCCCCAATCCCCTCCTCCTCCTTCCAGAGATGACCCTGTCCTGAGTGGTAGCCATCATTCTTTACTCCCACAAATGTATATTATACATTTCAACTTGAAACAGACAATAGCATTCAGCATTTCAGGATATGCTCATAGGCCTTGCAACTTGCTTTCCCTCTTGTCGCACACACAGTATGTTTTAGATTTACACAAGTTGGTATATTTAACTCTATTTCAGGGCACATATTTTAAAGACCTTTTCTCCTGATCAATACACCAAACCATGCTCATAATAGAGACATTTAGAAAGTACTAAAATTTTATTTTATTTTATATTAATCCTCACCTGAAGAGAGAGAGAAACATTAATGTGAGAGAAACACATTAATTAATTGCCTCCCATACATACCCCAACTGGGCTGGGGATTGAACCTGTAACCCAGGTACATGCCCTTGACCAAGATTGAACCCAAGACTTTGCTGCACAGGAAGATGCTCTAATCACTTAGCAAAACCACCCAGGGCTAATAATTAATTTATTTAAAAATAGAAGAGCCTCAATCTACTCAGTCTTTCCTCTAGTTTCTTGCCTTTTACAGTTGAGAACATACTTTACAAAATAATTATTTATCCTATTATTTTAACTTAAAAGATATGTCAGGATCATGTTTCCAAGTGTAGTTAATTTTTAAAAAATATATTTTTATTGATTTTTTACAGAGAGGAAGGGAGAGGGATAGAGAGAAACATTGATCAGCTGCCTCCTGCACACCTCCTACTGGGGATGTGCCTGCAACCAAGGTACATTCACTTGACTGGAATTGAACCTGGGACCTTTTTGTCCACAGGCTGACACTCTATCCACAGAGCCAAACTGGCTAGGCTCAAGTGTAGTTAATTTTTAATTGTTGTACAGTATTGCACTAACTAGAGACACCATAATTGGCTGAACATTTCTATTATTGGGCATTTGGATTACTCCTAAAGTTTATTATCATGGATAACACAGAAATGAATACAATCATGGATAGATTTTACTCAAAATATTTTATTATGTGTTTCCATGGAATCACTGTACTTCCCAACCATGCTATTTCTAAAATTTCCCCCAGCAAAACGAACACATATACCCAGTGAGACAGAATGGGGCACCCCAAAGCAGCACAGTTCAGCTCCTCTGAAATCTGAGAGCCATGGGATCATATCATTGGTCCACGTGGCCACAACACTTACATCAAAATGCCACACACCCACCAGCTGAGCTACCAACCAACATGATTTTACAGAAACAGCTTTGATGAGTTAAAACAGGGAAACAGCTGTGTCTCATGAATTACTTTTACTGAATCTAGAAGAATTCCTATAATAAAGGTCAACTAACAGGTCAATGGGCATTGATCACATATCAGGAGAGAAAAGGGCTGAGCTTGACCACCACCAGCTCTGCACCCTGTCCTCAGTGAGCATCTCTCTGTTGGACTATCCCAAGGAAGTGCAGGGAAAGCACCATCTAGCAGTGAGCACTGTGACTACTTATCACTATCATCACTTCTACTACCATTAAGAGTCAATGGACCATTCTCAACTTTCCTATGGGTGGTTTATATTCGGGTGAAAATCTAATGGAAAACTCTGAATAAAAAGAATTCCAGAATCAACCCCCAAATACTTACCATATATGGGCACACCTGATAACCTTGTCCAAAAATCAATTCACATTGTTTATTCACGTTGTAAAGGAGGCCTGGCAGTTGGGAAGGCAAACTGTAGGCTCTGTATCCTGGTTCGTTAAGCAAACACTCGCCGTAACCAGTGCTATGAAAGCAAAAATACAGATGGTGAGTGTGATGGGTGACTCACGGCTTGTCAACACCTCCAGTTGAAAGGGAAAGCCATCTGCCATTGTAATGGTAGTTCGGACAATTCTTTTTTTTTAATTAAAAAAAATATTTTTATTGATGTCAGAGAGGAAGGGAAGGAGAGAGAAACAGAAACATCAATGACTAGAGAGAATCATTGATGGGCTACCTCCTGCACGCCCCACACTGAGGATCAAGCCTGCAACCCCAACATGTGCTCTTGACTGGAATCCAACCTGGGACCCTTCAGTCCACAGGTTGCCACTCTATCTACTGAGCCAAACCAGCGAGGGCATGACAGTTCCTTTCTTATATCTGTTTTATTCTTTTACCCAGGGTTCAATCTAGAAGCTGAAGTTATATAATTTGGTGTATACTTGTTTGTACTCTGATTGGCTATGTATACAACCCAGCTAGTAGGAAATATGACTCTGTTACAGCATTGATCACATATCAGGGCAATTATCTTTTTGTTATAATCTTTTCCAAAAGACTAATCTTCTTAGGGGCAAAGATAGTGTCTTTTTCATCTTCCATAACACCAGATGTTTAGTAAAGGTTCATTGAATAGATGAGTGAGTTAATCAACAACTATCTTGAGAAACACCTTAGGCCACCTGGTTAAAGAGGAAAACCAGCAGCCCTCCAGCCCTTTTGACTTTTCTACAAACACTTCTGGAAAATTCACACCCAGTGAGTTCTGACTAACAAAGCCCTCTCTTTCCTGTGGTTGCAGAAATATACACCCAGTGACCTCCGGACAATCAATTAACCTCTCGTACTTATGGGAGAGAAAAGCAATAAATCCGAGACACAGGGATACTGTATAATGTAATTGGATCTTTGAGCAGCCTGGCAGGAAGCTCAAAAAACAAAATAAGAAAAGAGAGGACAGAGAAAGAGAGAAAGAGACAGAGGGAGAGAGAAATGTCCTCCATTCAACAACAGGAAAGTGTGCTGCAATTTTCATCAATCCAGATAACTTCTTTGGGATTGCCTCACGATCCTACCCCTCCCCAAGCCAAAATGACCACGTTAAAGCCCATAAATATTTGTGGACTTTCTTCATCATATAATCACATTCATGGTCCCTCCTCTAAGATCGGATCAGATTTCCTATCTTTACCAGAAATAAAGCAACATTTACACATTCTCTGTAAGGTCCAATTTTCTTTTTAGCTCAGTCTGTAATCTTCTGAACTTGGGCAAGGACATGAACTGCACAGATGCAGAGAGTATTTTTTTTTCCTCCTCCAAGGAATGTCAACAAAAAACAACTGGGGAAAAAAGTGCTTAGCTCTACATTTTCTTTCCCACAATTAGATTACTACACGAAGGCCAGATACCAGAAGTCTGTGCTACAAGAAAATTCAAGTCTTACTCTAAAAATTCAGTGATGTATTTTCGACTACACTTTGACCACATCCAGGGCTTGGTGTAAAAGTTCAATGTTGGAGCCATGACATGCTGGGGACTCTTGACTCCGTCTTCTTTGCACTTATTGCTGTCGTCATGAGGCATATTAAACCTAAGGCCAACGAGACAAGGACAAGAATGTCAATAAATACCAAGGGATCGGGCTGTTATCATTGATGCACCTGTCCAAAAACATTTTTATTAACTAATAGGAAGCATTTGTCATTCCAGAAACATCAGTTGTATGATCAACATACCATTCTCAGCTTGATAACTACCCATCAAGCTCAGAGGGCTGTCCTGTCTGCATGACTTTCTCCAATCACAAGTTTGATGCATCTGAATAATCTAGCATTTAGGGAGAAATTTACTTCACAAGTTCATCTTGAAATATGGAAATCAGTGAATCAAAAGTGTATAGATTTGCTTCATATAAAAGTAAAAGCTGAGATAAAAGTCTGGGAGGTCCAGTCCATTGATTTCTCATGTGTTTGGTTTTCTTTTTCTTTAAAAAATTTGGGTCCCATGCCCAGCAGGCATGGCTCAGTGGTTGAGTGTAGACCTATGAACCAGGAAGTCACAGTTTGATCCTGGTCAGGGCACATTGCCTGGGTTGTGGGCTCAATCCCCAGTGGGGGCATGCAGGAGGCAGCCGATCAATGATGCTCTCTCATCATTGATCTTTCTAACTTTCTTTCCTTCTCCCTTCTTCTCTGATATCAATAAATGTATATTAAAAAACATTTCAGTCCCACAATAATTACCAGATGGAATAATTGCCTAATGGAAATTGTGAGACAGAAAAACTCAAACTGTCTTGTTTGAACATAAAAGGAGTTCTTAATGCTTATAAGTCCATTTTCTTCTTTTAATATATTTTATTGATTTTTTTTAATTTTTATTATTTTTTAGAGAGGAAGGAAGAGGGATAGAGAGTCAGAAACATCGATGAGAGAGAAACATTGATCAGCTGCCTCTTGCACACCTCCTACTGGGGATGTGCCCTCAACCAAGGTACAGGCCCTTGACCGGAATCGAACCTGGGATTCTGGAGGCTGATGCTCTATCCACTGAGCCAAACCTGTTAGGGCACAAATCCATTTTCTTAAAAGAACGACTGCCCAGGTTTCTAGTTGCAGCTGCATAGTCAGTAATACTACCTGTACCACCAAAGCCAACCCAAACCAAGCATCTAAAGCTGTTGGGTTCTCTGCTGGTGTTTACTTTCTCCCCCTCCCTGACCCGCCCCACCAGACCTTGACAAAATCCAGTATATTTCATCATGTAATCAGATATTCATTCAAATATCAGGAACATTTGCTCAAAGCAGGGGCTAGGCAATAATGCATATTCATTCATTAAGCACTTACTAACCAATAATAACCAAAACGTTTTTTGCTTTTGATTTTTTGCATTCAAACATACAGGACAGTGTGTTAGATGCTCCCCCTGCCCCCCCCCCACACACACACACACTTAATTACCTATTTGACCCAATGAATAATACAATTACTCTCCATGTTTTACAGGTAAGGAAACTGAGTTGTAGAGGTTTAATTGATTGATTGAGATCATAAGGCTACTAAAATATGGGAACTGGGATTGGACTCTACTTTAGTCTGCTTCTAAAACCTCTTGTTTTGGAGTATATATAAACTATAGTCCCTCCTGTTAGATGAGTTGTGATTTGTCAGGAATATTATGGAAAGAGTTCTATATCCAGAAGACACTGGATTACCTCCCCACCTTCCTCTTCCACTCTGTGTCTATGGACATTCCTGTGCGAGAGGGGAGGGATGTTTTATGAAGCATCCAATGACACTCAACAGATACAAGAGCAATCCCCCCCCCCCCCCCACACACACACACTCAATAGCTGTTGGGATTTTTATAATCAGAGAGTACTGACTGAAACACCTTAACACGTAATTGTTAAAAGGTTCAGTAGAAAATCTGCGATTTTCTCTTTCATTCACTGTGAGTAAACCTAACTACAGGAGACAAAGCATCAAAACAAAAAGTATTCATTAAAGGGTTAGGAATATGATTTTCATTTAACTAATAACTCACATCACCAATTATTTCATATTTCACTTTCTGATACTTTTGAGATGGGATCTATATGTATTGTGCCCACATCACAGGTAGGGAAACAGCATGCCTTCTCAAGTCAAGCAGAATGTGGGACAATTCAGTCCAGAACCTGGCATCTGGCTCCCAACCGACCTCAGCCTGAGAGCAGGTCCCCCAGCTTAGTCCCGCCAGGTCCAGCCCAGAGAAACAGCACCCACTACCTGTGCACCTGGTGAGGACGAACGGACATCATGGAAATAGAAGCCCCTCTAGCAATGCTGCCCACTTGGGTTTTGGGTAGGGAACGTATTTGTTATCTATGCATCAAATTTTCTCAATAGCTGACAATAATTTAGTTTTTGCTACTCAAAATTCTCACTTTCCTCAAAATGTCAACATTATACACAGTCTAAAAGAAGTTTATAAGCTCTTGTTGGAAAGAAATTAATAATATTTCTTCAAATGGTACACTTTCCTTAGCCATATGTTGGGGAGAAATGTTAGTCTGCTAATGGAAATTTTCCGCTTTTGAATGCTTTCCTATCTGTAACTTTTCCTCTCCCATTTCCTAGGAAAGGAACAGCCATTCTGTTGAAATGCCACCTATTCTTCACAATTCAATCTACCCTCCTACTTAAAGTTCCAAAGAAATGTACTACATTTTATGTAAAGTAAACAAATATTCCTAAAAGATTCTGTTACAATAGGTTCGAGAAAACTGAGTTAAACAAAATCAACAGTTTACTATAGAACTTGTCAGAGTCTTTATTTTATACCATTTAGCCTTATGACTCTAACCAGGGATAGACTAGAAAAACATGTTTTTTTAAATCACATGACTGCTAAAGCTTAACAGATACTACACTTGATCTTAGTCACAATCTGAGGAGCGACCTGGAGAGTATGTGAAATACGCCAGTCAGAGAAAGACCAATGCCACATGATCTCACTTATATGTGAAATCTAACAAACAAAATAGAAACAGACTCATAGATACAGAGGGCAAACAGAATGATAGCTGTCAGAGTGGGTGGGGGATGAGAGACTGGGTGAAAAAGGTAGAGATTAAGCAAAAAACAACAACCACAACTCATAGACACAGACAATAGTATGGTGATTACCAGAGGGAAAGAAGCATGTGGGGGAGGTAAAAGAGGGTACAGAAGAGATAAACGGTGATGGAAGGAGTCTTGACTTTGGGTGGCGAACACAAAGTACAATATATAGGTGATGCGTTGTGGAATTGTATATGTAACATCTATATAATTATTAACCAATGTCACACAAATAAATTCAGTAAAAAAATTATTTTTAAATCACTTGTACAAAACGCATATCTCTCTCTCTCTCTCTCTCTCTCTCTCTCTCTCTCTCTCTCTCTCTCTCTCTCTCTCATAGCATAGATAGACCTAGAGGTTATTATGCTAAGTGAAATAAGTGTAACAGAGAAAGACTTCACTTATATGTGGAATCTAATGAACAAATAAATAGAAAAAGACGTAGGTACAGAGAGCAGACTGACAACTGTCAGAGGGGAAGGAGTGGGGTGAAAGGTGAAGGGCTGGGTGAAAAGGTAAAGGGATTAAGAAGTACCAATTGGTAGCTATAGAACAGTCACAGGGATATAAAGTTCAGCATAGGGTCTACAGTCACTAATATCATGATAACTATGATAGTATGAGATAACTAGTCTGGGGCCAGGTAGGCTCTTGAAGTGGCAGGGAGATCACTCTGGAAAGTACATGCTCTTCTAACCTCTCTGTACACCTGAAGCTAATAGAGCATAACCCTGAAAGTCAACTGTAATTGAAAAATCAAAAATATCACGACTACAAAATGCCTTTTGTTTTCACCGACCATTCTTTTGGAAACGGTGTTCAAATCCTTGTGCTTTGGGAAACACTGGTGGGATCAGTAGTTGTCAAACTGAGTTCCAAGAAATCCTTGCGTTTTCATGAGAGCATTTGAGAAACCAAAAGGACAGAGAGGAAGATGACTAGTGGGACTTTGGCCACCCACCACAGCTGTTTAGCAGAAAACTAAGCCTTTTGTGCGCCATAAATATTGGGTATCTGATAGCATCCCCTTCAGAGAAAAGAAAAGGAGTATGCTCTTAAAACATGCTTGAAAGGTGCTAGTTTTGAAAATATCCTTTCCATGTTGAGTTGAGGTGGAGAGATGCCCATCTATCCGCCTGCTCTATGCCTAGCACCGCACACTGCACAGAGGAGCCCTCGGAAGCCTGGGGGAGGGCAGAGCTCGCTTAACAGGTGATTTTAGTTACACAGTTAACATCTGACATGAAAATTCATATACAACTCCACTAGAGACAGCAGAGAAAATGATTTCAAAAAGATGTAAGTAATTGAATTATTACTTATGGAAAGAAAAGGATGCAGCTCAAATAGCAGAAAAATTTCTGGCAAATTTATACTGCTTTGCCACACGTTCTAACCATACTCTGCCTCTAAAGAACAAAAGGAAAAGCCAGTTACATAATGACCACGTAGTAACCAAAATTAGTGTTTTCCTTGCTCTCTCTCTGTTCATTCTCTCCCATGACAGAGGGGTGTCCCAGTCTGAATTGTAGGCATATAACTAGAAGCAGGGAGGATCTGGATTTGCGAGAAATCTCATGAGCTTGGGCAATGATGGACCTTCCTCCACAGAGATGTCAAGCCCCCCTCCTCTAATTCCCAGCGGGAAGGGAGAATATTTAGAATTTTCATAGAAAACGTGTGTAATTAAACCAAAGACCCACAGGGGACAGGGCCAACGAGGGTACACGCATTCACTCAACTTTCTGGAACCAGTCACTTCTCCCTCCCAGGGTCAAAGGGCATCCATCCTGCAGATTCTGCTGTGACCCAACAAGCGTCTCACCCTCACAAGGCAAGGAAAGGCTCACTGCTGCGAAGGAAGGAGTTTTAGGTCACTGTGAATTCAATGGAAATAGGAAAGGAAACATACAGATGGCCTAGTTCGTGGGCTATGGTAAAAGCCGTGCTCATTCCATTATCTTCGCAGATAGAACAGCTTCTGGCGGGATCACAGAGGGTTCCCAGTTCAGCCAGACCTATGGGAAGGAAAGAAGCAGGGTTTACTTGAACAGGCAGTTGTGAATAAGGAGGGAAAACATGCAAGAAAGAGTGGGCGCTGCAGAGGATCTCACAGCTGACTCACCTAGCGTGTCACACTTGTCCTGAGCTCTGCAGATGTCCTGTCTGAAAGGAAAGCACATTAGGGCCTTGAGGACGCCAGAGAGGAAACATCAGTACCCGTCACCACTTCAGAGCCTTCTAGGACTCACAGCCTACCCGTCGTCCAGGGAGGGGTTTACAAAATCACTGCTTTCAGGATAGAAAGCCACGTGGACAGGCCGCCCGCTGCCTCGGGAGCGGCCTGGAAGCAGCTGAACCCTTTCTCACCAGGTTCTTCCTCACACACCGAGGACGTGATTCTAGTTTATGCACAAAGATTCCTGACCAACAGGCCTCTCCTCTCTGCCCCTGAGAGCGTGCATGGGAGGGAATCCAAGGCGGGTCGTGGGCAGCCCGAGCCAGCAGGCCTCTTCGCTGCCCCACACAGTGTTTGAGAATGTTTTCTAAGTAGGAGCTACGATTTAAACATTGGGAGAGTTCACTTCAAAGACACATGCATATCCCTGACTCCTTGCAAATTCAGAGAAGTTGGCAGCCCTGGCCTGTACCCAGCCTGGTAACAACGGGCTCCATCTGAAGAGCCGCTGGCCCCCTAGACGGCCACTTCCTTTCGGACCTGCCCAACACTTTCACTGTCCACTCAGCACCTCCGGGTAAGTGGTTCCCAACAGGGGTGATTCGATGCTCCCCTCACCACCCCCACCCATCCCCACCCTCACAGGGCCTTTGGCAAGCTCTGTGGGCTGAGGACACTGTTGGTGGGCACAACTGAGAGGACCATTGCGACTGGTCAGTGGAGGGCAGAGACCCAGGGCACTGCTAAGCATCCTAACATGCACAGAATGCCCCACGACAGAGTTATCTGCTCCCAACGGCCAAGGGTGCTGAGGCTGAACAGCCTGGTGCCGGGAGCTGGCTGCCAGGAGCATGCACCTGCCATCACCTTGCCTGGGAACTGTGAGGTGAGGAGCGTCAGGACTGCATACCTCGTTATCAGGATGGCGGTATCGTACTGGATCCCACCTGTATTGTTCTTCTGCCACAGGCAGAAGTTCCTCAGTGTCGTCTGGGCATTAAAAGAGATGGACGGTCCTTCCTGAGCACAGAAAAGAATTATGGTTGGTCGGTTGTACCGATTGCACACTCCATTTCAGATACAGAGAGAAGAAAGAAGGAAAAACAAAACAAAACTTGATTACCTGTTCATTATGAATCACAATTAAGTTCACAACAACAATATTAATTAAATTTCCAATACTGGGGTCTTTATAGATAGAGGCTACCTGCAACCGAGATAAATTTTGCAAAGTTAATTGTGAACTCTGTGTAAACAGCAAGCAATTCATTTCTTATGTGCGGCTCCACCAAGTCTTATATTTCATGCAACTTATGCGTTTTTCAGTTTTGAATTTTCATTCATTCATCAAACACTCATTAAAACTATCTTCATAAAATTATTTATAGATGAAGGTTTTAAATAATAACAAATTATAACACATTTAAATTTTAAGGTAATTTATTTAAAAATCTCATGGCCATGCATCTTAATAGCTCTATGCCAAAATACTGAATATTAACTTTTCATCAAGCTCTTTCATCCCAGTTGAAGTCCCTGATTGCAAAATTATGGATCTCACATTGACCACGACTTTGCCGATACTGCTGCTCTGCATGCCTAACATCTGTGTTCTCCACAACCTGGTGACCTAGTTTTTTCATCCATATTGTTAAATTATGAGAGGCTTCTCATAATTCATTGAAGGCTTCTGTGGACTAGACCGTGCTGAAAACCGCACATGCATTTGCATTTAGTCCCAGTAATACCTGTGCTAGGCATTTGTCTAACCTCTACTCAACAAATGAGGAAACAAAGGCTCAGAGAAATTAACTAACTCATCTAAGACTATATACAGTGGCGAGCAGCAGAGCCAGAACTCTCAACCTCTGTCAACTTGACCCAAGTCCAAGCTCACAATTGGAATTCTTAGGACAGGTCTGAATTTATAGGTTGGAAATGGAGTTGAGTCTGTGTAAAGTCTGATTAGATTTTTCTTTCTCTGCTCCAGGACATGAGAAGGCTGGCATAGATAGGACTGAGGGTGGCAGAGGTAGGTAATGAGAGGGTGGAGGGAGGCAGGCTCTGGTGTGGGGTGGAGAGCACGGGGGGGGGGGGGGGGTGTTGGTTCACAGCAGTGAGGGAAAGACGAGGAGAGCCACAGGTCAGGGAGGGGGAAGAAGACACTCTAAAGTAATGTCCATAAACATGGTTGCTTTCCATATTCATTTGTGGAACATATAAAAAGCAGATTCCTGTTCAAATATCTTAGGTTCAGTGAATGGGGGCAAGATCATAGAGACTGCTATAGAAACAACCTCCAATATTTCAAGAAAAAAAGCAATGTGTAAAAGAGTCTAGGACAATTCTGCGTTTCTGTTTGAGAACCAGTTGTATATGCATACATATATGCTTGACAAGTGTTCAGTGCCTCACCATCTGATACGGTAGCCACTTGCCACGAATAGTCACTGAGCACTAGAAACGTGGCTAGTCCCAGCTGAGATGTGCAGTGAGCATAAAACATACTGGGTTTTGAAGGCTTAGTATGAAAAATATTAAAGTATCTCATTGATAATGTTTGAAGTAATATTTGGGTATAAAATAAAAATGCATTATTAAAATTAATTTACCTATTTGTTTTATTTCATGAGGCTACTAGAAAATTTAAAATTATATATGTGACTCACATTATATCTCTATGGGGCAGAGCTGTTTAGAAACATATGCAAAAAAGCTTACTAGTGATTGCTTCTGGGAAGGGGTAGAAGCATGAGTAGGGAACAAGTTTTTTTGTTTTGTTTTGTTTTTTAAGGAAACAATGACTTTTTTATTTTGTTAATCCTCATCCAAGGATACTTTTCCACTGATTTTTAGGGAGAGTGGGAAAGAGAGAGAAACAACATTGATGTGAGAGAAACACATTGATTGGTTGCCTCCTGCATGACCCGGACCAGGGCCCGGGCTGGGGAGGAGCCTACAACCAAGTTACATGCCCTGGCCAGAATTGAACCTGGGACTCTTTGGTCCACAGGTCAACACTTTATCTCCTGAGCCAAACTGGGTAGGGCAAGAACAAGTTATTTTTCATCAATGGGCTTTTATGTTAGATTTTTTTTAATTATGCAAATATATATATTGCTCTTTCAATTCAAAATGGGCATAAAAAATGGGCATAGAGTGAGAGATTTCTAGGCCCCACCCAAGGGCTAATTAGAATCCTGGGGAAGAGCCTCGGTGACTGATTCACAGCCAGCATCAAAAGCCTAGCCTCACACTTGGCTGTACACGCTCACATCAGACAAAGACTGCTGCTGTAGGCAGCTGGACCAGCTAGATGTCACATCAGTCTCCAAGCCTTCATCCGACCATAGGCCAGTGACCCAACTCCTCTGAGGTTTCATAAAATAGGGATGATAATCCTACCTAGCAGCGTTTCCCAAAGGTTTAGAAATTATGCCTTTTAAATAAACAAGTACACTGTCAAATGATCACAGAACAAACCCTCAATGTTGATAGCCATGACTGTCACAAAGCAGCAACCAATGAATAATCTCATGTTCTTTCCAGTCACTTGCCTGAGTCGGTGAAATGCCAGCCCTGATGGTCTTCCAAAGCCCTGCCTGGAAGCCCCCCATGCCCCAGTGGCACCTGTAGGGGCTCATAAATCAGGCTTTTATGTGTACTTACAATGGACATTAAAGTTAAAACGTAGTGCTGAAGGTTTGCTCCATGGTATGACATCATTTTTCGGTCGGCCACCACCGCCACTTCTACAAACCGTGGGTAGGATATGAAACGCTTTGTTCTTCTGTGGGGCCTCTGTTCTCCCGCACTGTCCGTCTTGTTACCAGAGGCAGAGAGCACCTTTGTCTGGAAGCCGCTCTTGAGCACTGCCAGGTCGTCGGCCAGGCTGCTCCGTCCTCCCCGTTCCCTTGCTCTCGGTTTCCTCCTGTCTTTACTGTGGCTATCTCTGTGTTCTGTAACAAATCAAAGGCATGCATTACATTTCAAGCCACTTCATATTAAGAACTGAACAGGACACATCTTGAAATAATGCCGCTACTGTCAAATTGCATATAAAATCAAGTTCAACACACTTTGGACTCTGCCAGTGAACCTCAATCTGGACTCTCACCTAAATGACTAAGGACGTGAAATTAGGCTCCCCTGAAGTTTCCAGAAATGCTCCCTTAAGGTATTAGAAAAGAAATCAGGCCTGAGTTTAACAACTGCAAATGATTCTTTTCATTTGGTAACCAAAGTCTTGCTGGCATTTAAGCAGATTCTATTCATTGTTCTTTGGAGTAGATATAGTAAGGGCCAATGGCAGCCAGAGAGCTCTAGAGAATGGAAATGGAGATGTTTCCTATACGCCACTTCAGATATTCACTAAGATACAATATAAAGAGGTCTGAGGGGTGGGCAGCCTAAAAGACAACACAAAGGAACTATAGACAATGCATGACAAGGTAGACATAGTATTATTCTATTACTACATTTAATCATTATGATATGCAAAATTTAAGAATAGAAACACTGCTACTCAGCGCCTCTGAATTTCAGAGCTCATTTAAGAAGGCTCATTAAACTCAGAGAGTGTGAACAGATAGTGGGGACCATGATGCACAACGACAGATAGCTCTGGTCAGTTCCAACTCATGCCCGCCCTTCAGGGTTCTACACAGCTTACTGCTCACAGGGTGGTCCTTCGATCAGAAACACTGGCAACTCTTGGCAACTTGTTAGAAATGCAGACTCTCTGTAAATCAGAATTTACATTTTAACAAGATCTCCAGGTGATTTATATTTATGTTAATGCTTCCAGAAGCACTAGCCTCAGTCTAGGCGTGCAGCTTGTATTGCTGGTGAGAATATTCCATTTCAAAGCCATCAATCACACAATACACAGAATAAGCATAAAAGAGCCTGCCACAATATGCTTTGAGTAATAGCATGATTCAGTTATCTTGCCTATCACTGTATTAATGTGCTTGTGTTTGGGCCAGGAAAAAGCTTCCTTTTGCCCTAGATTCTTCTGGCTGGCCTAGATATTAAATTAACATGAAACACATTAACAAGATAGCCAAATTAAGTTACATGCATATGTATGGGAACCTCATGCACATGAGAGAGTCAGAGACCCCCCACATACATGAGAGATTCAGAGACAAAAAGATAAAATGAGATATACATGACATTCTGAGCTAAGGAGGAGGTAACGAGCCTTGGGCTTCAGAGGGGAGAAAAGTCAATCACTGGAACATAAGAGGAGCAGATGTTGAGTAGTTACATTTTTGTCTGCCCTATGCATAGATCATAAAGTCATTTCTGCTGATAACTCTAATATGTACAAGGCCCTTAATATAGATCTTTTAGGGAGAGGGAAACATTCCTTATGAGCCTGTGGGGTCTTAAGTGCCTTCAGCTCAAAATAATTTAAGTGCCCACGGGGCACATCTTTGGGGGCCTGTTCTGTACCCTTTCAAATGCCATTAGCTGTAGTCTAAAACAGTCTACAGAGTTGTACAACTAAGAAGTATGCTTACCTAAGACAGTTTCTTACACCACTAAACATGTATAATGACACCAAAAAAGTTAAACTATAAGTGGCTTGGTTTTTTTAAGGGTGCAAATATTTCATCTTTGTAACTTATTGCTAAAACAATCAATTTAGGCCAGGATGTGTATTTTGCAGTTCTGCAAAATACATGTGCATTCTGTCTCGACCCACAGGTTGAGAACCACTAGCAGAGTCGCCTAAAACAATCAGATAACACAGATATTTACATTATGATTCATAACAGTAGTAAAATTACAGTTATGAAGTAGCAATGAAAATAATTTTATGATTAGAGGTCACCACAACATGAGGAACTGTATTAAAGGACCAAGGCATTAAAAAGGTTGAGAGCCACTGTTATAATAGGTATGTAAAAAGCTATGTTGAATCTGATAGTTTTAAATACATAAGAAAATATGTCAATTATTGAATATTTTGTAAAAAAAATAATAATCCCTGTTTAACGTTTTCTGTAAATATTTTAATACAATTTATTATAATCAGTGAAGTTTCAAATGTTTAAAGTCTCATTTTTCTATTCTCTATTTCATTAATTTCTGCTCTATTTTCTTCTTTCTGCTTGCTATAGGTTTAATTTTCTCTTCATTTTACAGTGTCTTGAGTGGACTTGTTGGCAGCTGTGAAAATGGCAACAGGTGATAGATAGGTGGAGTCAGAGAGGACCTTGGTTCAGCAATCTTATCAATAATTCTTGAGATTCTGCTAAGAAAGAATTCAGAGCCAAGACTCAAACTATAAGAGACAGTTTATTTAGAAAGTCACAGAGATAGAAGTGAGCCATAGAAGTAACGGGCTTTAGAAAACAGGTTACAGAGGCAAAAGAAGGGCCCTTGGAGCTTAGAAGAAAGAGAGGCAAAAAAACTGGGAGAAGGAAAAGGGGAAAGGGAATGCGGATGTGCTCTGCAGAGAGAGCCCAAGTGGGCTCTCTGCCTTGAGGGTATTTATCTAGACTTCTCAAGAGAGGATCCCAGGAGACTATTCATCAACTTTCCAGGTATTTCCTTTCCAGGTCAAGGTCTCTACTGACTGGTAGGCACCCGGGCAGGGGGTCATTAGTCAATTAGTCAACACAGGTAGAGTGTCACTTATCTCGTGTTGCTGCTTTTCTGGGCCTGGAGCTGAAACACGACTGAGGCTAGAGGTATTTGATGGGGGTCATTTGACCTCTAAGGGGATCTAACTGCATGACTAGCAACATGCCAGGGGAGAAAGGTCAGGAAGGGTCTGAACCACATGATCAGCGATATTAAAGGTCAGGTCTGAACCACATGACCAGCGATATGCTAGGGGAGGAAAGGTTATCCTGGATGGAGGCAAGGTCCTTGTTTCCCCACTTTGCCTGTTGCTAAGCACTTGAGGCTTTCTAACCTAGTGACCTTCTGTACCTGGCCTATTGTCCTTTCTCCGCTCTAGTTTGTCTAGCTGCCTATCACAGAAGGTTATATTATTATCTTGAGATATCTGTTTTTCTTCTAATAGGGGCACCTATAGATATACATTTTCCTCTAAGCACTGCTTTTGCTGCCTCCCATAAATCCATTTTTATTCATCTGGAAGTATTTTATGACATCTCCTTTGACTTACTGGTTATTTAGAAGTGTGACACTTGCTTTCCACATAGTTTTAGTTACTCGGTATTTTTATTTTCTTCCTGTCATTGACTTCTAATTTCATTTCCACTTTGGTCAGAGAAAATACTATGTATTATTTCTGTCCTTTTATATTTATTGAGGCTTTTTATGACCTAGCATATAGTCTGTTCTACAGAATATGCCTGTACAGTGAGAAGCATGCGGCCTCTGCTACTGCTGGGGCAGTGTACTATAGACATCTGCTAGTGTAGCTGATTACAGTGCTGTTCATGTTTCCTATTTCCTTGCTGATCTTCTGCATAGCTGTTCTACCCATTATTGAATATGAAGTATTGAAGTTTCTAACTATTATTACTGAATTATCAATGTCTTCCTTCGTGTCAGTTTTTGCTTCATGTATTTTGGTGCTCTATTCTGAGGTGCATCTAATGCTCATAATTGTTAAATTCCCCTAATGAACTGACACTTTTTTATTATAAGACTCTTTGAAAAACGTAATCCTATCAGTAAAGTGAAAGAAGCCAGTCACAGAAGACCACCTACTACATGATTGTAATCATGAAATATTGTGAACAGGGAAATCTATAGAGATGGGAAAGTAAATCAGTTGCTTAAGGATGGAAATGGAGTGGGGACATAGTGGAGTGATAGCAAAAGGATACAAGGTTTCTTCTTTGAGTGATAAAAAATGCTCTAAAATTGACTTGATGTTGGTTGCACATATTTTTGAGAACACTAAAAACCACTGAATTGGACCCTTTAAATGAGTGAATAATAAGGTATGGAAGTCATCCTAAAATATAAAAACCCAGGGTCCATAATGTCCAAAATGACCAAAGCTTCTACCGAACACTGGAAGTCAGTCCTGCCATCAGTGCTGGGTTGCCATGGCGACCCATCACTGACTGCCTAGGGGGCTTTGGATCAGGCCGGGAGAGTGGCCCAGAGAGAGAGGTAGAGTCTGATCTTCAGCCTCTGTGGCACATGTTGATCAGCCATTGCCTCTCTCTTTCTCTCTAGACTTTGCCAGCAGTCATGCCTCTGTTTCCCTCTGGGCCTCTGCAGGGGCTGTTGATTAGCCCCACCTCTCTGATCAGCCCCAAAGATAGGCCCAGAGACGCTGACTGGCATTGAAATAGACCAATCAGAACCAAGTCTGTGTGAACTGTGAGGAGCCAATGGCAGCCTAGGAGGTGGAGCTTTTGACACTGACTGGCATAGGAACCAACCAATTAGAACCAAATTAACTGGCAGCAGAGGAAAGCAGTTGGGTACAACCAGGCTGGCAGGGGAGGGCAGTTGAGGGCAAGATCAGACAGGCAGGGGAGCACAATTAGAGGTGATCAGGCAGGCAGAGGCAGTTAGGGGTGATCAGGCCTGCATGGGAGGGCTGTTGGGGGCAACCAGGCTGGCAGGGGAGGGCAGCTGGGAACAAGATCAGGCTGGCAGGGAGGGCGGTTGGGGGCAATCAGATAGGCAGGCAGAGGCAATTAGGGTGGATCAGGCAGGGAGGCAGAGAGTTTAGGGGTGATCAGGCAGGCAGGTGAGCATTTAGAAGCCAGTGATCCCAGATTGTGAGAGGGATATCAGATTGGAGAGGGTGTTGGCTGGGCTGAGGGAACTCCCCCCCTCCCTGCATGAATATTGTGCACTGGGCCACTAGTATTTCAATAAAGCTGTTTTAAAAAGAAAATATGTCACTTAGGTTGTGAAAAGTAAATACTTAATGTTTCCTGTAAATATTCTGACTTATTTGTTACTTAGATATATACCTACAGTGAGAAATGCTGTGCAGAATTTACTC